CAACCATATTCCCAGAGACATCCCTCCATTCCACTTGAATCCTGCAGTAACACCACAGAAAACACAGGTGCCAATTTTCTCTTCAACACAATCTATAAACTCTTTTGGCAACAGAACCACTTAGAGATTGACATTTTTACACTGATCATTCCAGAGCGTATACACTGAACTCAAATGGCTTCGGTGATGGAAACTCTGTAGACTCCTGATCATTCATGGGAAATATTGGTGGGGTATCTTCTTTCAGGGTCTTGGTTGGCCATGAAACCAGCTTGCTTACTTTTGGCTAAACCATAAACTAAAGAATTGCTTAAGAAAATATGAGTTCTTCTATATTCTGCCATAAATACCAGACACTCTGTTTCTCTGGATGTCTCATCGCTTATTGGGAATCTAATCCCAGATTCCAACAAGCCATGCACTGAAGGGAAGCCAAATGGATTCCCTCTCTGAAAGGAAAGAGCATTTCTGGAAGCACTTGCTGGTCTTCTCAGCATGGGGAACTGTAGCCCTTCTTTGTTCACTGTAACTTTCTGCCTGGGTTTAGTGGGGAAAGGGTGGGTATCAACTCAAGCCTGAGCCAGAACATCTCTTTAAATCAACAAAATCCAATAGGCATAAGGAAAAGTGTGTATGACTTACTGAAATCAACAGAAAAGTTACTGAATGATAGAAGCACAAAGTAGGACACCTGGTCTTCCCCTTTGATTTTAAAGACTGGGAAGGGGAGTCCATCCCTTTGCACTGCAGTTGGCTGCTGCCCTCTCCTGAGCTGAGTGTGTCACAGGCCTGTGCCGAGGAGTCTGCTGTGACATGTCGGACCTGAAACCAACAGGAAACCCTAGACACTTTGCTTATGACCATGAAGCCAAAAAACAAAAAAACCCCAAACATTTCTTTACCCATAGGACCTAATAACAGTGTTTTATCAGACTTAAAACGTAAACTAAAACTAAAAATTTTAAAAATGTGCATTTTTCCTCTGAAAGGGAACCTGCTAAGATATATCTGTCAAAGAATCTATTTAAATGAAACACACCAGGAGTGTTTGACAGGAAAACCAAACTGTCACACAGGTTGACAACATTGTCGATGTTTTCTCCCTGGTTGTGGTTTTGCAGAGGTGAGCTATGGTAGCGATCAGTGGGCGGTGCTGAAAGAAGTGTCAGGAGGCCTTGGGGGCAGAGGGAACGGGCAGGGGGATGGGAATGGAGACAAAAAGAGACAGAGACAGGAACAAGGGAGGGAGCCAACGGGGGTCTAGGGGTGAGGAGCTGATAAGAGAATATTGAAAAATAAAGAAAACAGAGAACAAGGGGAGATGCAAGAGAAAGGCGTGAGGAATCATCAGGGGACACTGAAAGGAAACGGGACTGTGCTAGGGAGAGCTATGGCCAAGGAACCATCAGAGCTGAAGGGCTGGGGTCAGATTCTGTGAGGGGTCCGAGTTTGCTCTGGAGCTTTGGAGGCCATTTGGTAACGTGCCAAAGAGCAGCAAGAAGGCAGAAGACTCTGAAGCTCTCCCACCATCTGCTTGGTACCACAAGGAGACGTGAGCCAGGGGCTCCGTAAGGATGTGAACATGGCACACACAAAGACGGTGACTGACCCGTCAGCCCAGGAAAGTGCCTGGGTGTTGGGAAATGACTTCTTTTTGATAAGAGGCACGAGGGTGGACAGGGGGCTGTGGCAGGGGTCAGGCTGGGCATGTATGTGGTTGGGAAACCTTAGGTGAGGAACTGGGAAGGCCTCACATTGGGGGTTTAGCGCCAGATGGCCTCACCACGGGCACTTCGGTCCCAAAGGAGAGTTCAGGGGAAACAACTTTTTAAAACTCGTAGGAAATGTACAGCAGTTAGCAAAATGAAGATACCTTGCCTTTACATTGAAACAGAAATGATAAAAAAAAAAAAAAAACTTCAGCAAACTATATGCAGATAAATGCTTTCTTCTTCCATACAAAAGACCCACTGCCTGCAGTATGGGCAGGTCCTTAGCAAAAATAACTACCACAAGAAAAAAAGTAATGAGTTTGTGCTTTCATTATCTAGGGATTACTCTGGAAAATCTTTTTTTCCTAGTGCCTAATCTGTGGAACCAGTTGGATCAGCTGTGACCATAATTATGCAATTCTGAAAATTAGGTTCTGCCTTACTTTCATATATATATATATATATATATATATATATATATATAAATATGGCTTACTTTTTCCACGGGATGCTATGAGACAGAATCTTACTCTATTGCCCAGGCTACAGTGCAGTGGTGCAATTTTGGTTCACTGCAACCTCCGCCTCCTGTGTTCAAGCGATTCTCCTGCCTCAGCCTCCCGAGTAGCTGGGACTACAGGTGCATGCCACCACACTTGGTTAATTTTTTGTACTTTTAGTAGAGACAGGGTTTCACCATGTTGGCCAGGCTGGTTTCAAACTCCTGACCTCAAGTTATCCACCCGTCTTGGCCTCCCAAAGTGCTAGGATTACAGGCATGAGCCACTGCGCCCAGCCTGACTTACTTTTAAAAGTATACGAAATCCTCCATTAACTGGACTGAATTTTGCCACAAGATACAATGAAGTAGAACTTTTTCTACTGATATACTGAGGTAATGACGTTTAAACTTAAGACGTCAGATTGATCACATGGGGAGTCTGCCCAGCATGTCTCCAAGGGCACAGGGCGGCAGGAGAAAGAAGGAGGGAGGTGGGGGGCAGGACCAGGATGGAGGAAACATCACAGGCTGGAGCCCTCTGAAGAGAAAAAACCTCATTTTAACCAACAATATGGGGAACTGGAAGTTTAAAGCAAAAATAATTTGTTTTAAGTTGCTGACTTTTCTAGGAGAAAGGGAAAAAATCCCTTATGAACATTTATGGACTTTAGTTTGAAAAAGCAACTTCCTAGATCCATCCTCATGTCGTTCCCCAAGGTGGCCACCCTTTCCACATCTTCATTACTCAGTGTCCACAATGTTTGTCAGTCAGGCCTTCTTCACGCCTCCAAGGAGGGCCTCTTTCTTTGAACCTAATTGTACCAGAAATTTTAATGAACCATTCCTCAAGTGATTTCATTTAATTGAGGTTTGTCTATGAAAAGCAAGTTTTTTTTTTTTTTTTTTTTTTCTGAACAGCAAACACTAGCAATCACATTGTCTAGCCTTTGCACGGCTCTTTACCGTGTTCCAAGTGCTTCCACGGAGATAGCCCTCACATCACCTGGGAGGTAGGTAGTGCCTGCCCCAGGTCACACATGAGGGACTGGAGGCTCAGAGTGTGGGAGGCACTTGCCTACGGTCACTCTGCTAGCACGCTGCGGCCGGAGCAAGCACCCGATCTCCTTACTCCCATCCCAACCCGAGTGCTTTCCCACTGGCTGGGGGAGTTGCAGGCACATTTATTTTGGCAGACTTTGCAATAAAATGCTTCGTCTTTGGAATGAGTGGAGCGCAAGAAAAATGTCTCTTAGCAAAAGCAGTTTCACTGCATTTGTAATCTTGCAGTGAGCCCTTGGACCAGGCTGTGTCTTCTTAGCAGGTGGTCACGATGGGTTTGTCTTCTTCGACTGTTGTAGGTTTAGAGCGGGGTGGTTTGCTAGCAGGAGATGAAGACCATTTGATTATATACAAATGTACAGGATCCTGCGAGTCATCTGGAGTCCTCAAACCCATTCATGTGTGTGTTGTTTTAAATAGGGATGCCTTTTATTTCTGCCATGCCGTGGGAAGGGCAGGAGGTTAACCTGGGCAACTGGTTAACCTGGCTGTGAAAAATCTCTAAGTACCCACTGAGCCTCACATCACATCTGGATCACCATCTGGGTGTATCAGTTATGACTTTTGCCGCATCCAGTCATACACATGTGCCCTTGACCCTAATGGGGCTGCGATGGACCTGTGCAATTTGTTTGCAGCCCTGGACATACTGCTCCTCCCCATGTAATGAGGCTGCTGTTCCTACTTTACAATAAGCACCAAGGGAGGAGAGAGATGAGGTTATCAAGTGAAGATCAGGAGTGTACTTTAACCCACAAGCCTTGTGGGCCAGATACTATGAATGGGAGAAAATACTAAATTTGCTCCAAAGTATTTTCTTTAACCCACCAGGGCCAAGGAAAGATACTGTTATGAATTTAAAGTCAGAATCCCAAAATTTAAAGTCAAACCACCAGAATGGCCTGGTAACCCTGGCGACCCAGCCTCTCCATCTTAAAATAGTCTCAGGGAAAATTTCCCTCCAAATGTTTGTTTATTCAAGATCTTTCTTTCCTTTGAATGTCCCCTGCCCTTCATTTCTGCCTTCCCCTGGCCTGTCTGTCCTGCCTTCGGTGAGAGTTGTCATTTGTGTTCTGATCATATCCCACTCCCTGAGGTGCATGGAGGTGAGAACAGGGGCATGTTCACCTTTGTTCTCCACACAATGTCCATCTGGCCCTGTGGACACCTGAGGTCATCGGTGAATGGCTGCAGCTACAAGGCACCAGGAGGGACTGAGCTGTTGCCAGAGCTTGGCCTGGAAGGGCTGGAGGATGACGTGGGTATTGGGTCATTGTTACTGTGACCACCTGCTGTTTTGCCAGGTTGACATCTGCTGTCACAGCCTAATGACTACCAGGGCCCTTCTTACTTGCAAAATGTCCTGGATAGAACAAGAAAACATGGTCATTCTGTTCATTGAAGAAGCAGGCAGCAAGGTGGTTTGAGTGTCATGACAAAGGGAGATGTAAGGTGGTTAATTTCCAGCCACTGTCCCTTCAACAATTTTCCTAAAGGAAGAGGGCTTACTTCAGACCCTCCTGAAACTACATAGACTGCTGCCTCCATCCGTGTCAGTTTCGTACTGGCTGGGGCACCTCTGGGCACCGGACTAGATGTGTGAGGCTCTTGATTCTGAGGACCAGCCCAGGCGCCCAGCACGGCCAGCCGGTCTCGCTCCCGGGCTTCTCTGCTCCGCTATGTTGCAGTTCCGTCCTTTCTAATACAAACACTCCTTGCTTTTCCAGCTTGGTACATTCGTCCGCTTATGACACTGGAAAGAGCCCAGGAAGTAACAGGGTTGATGGTGGCAGCACCGAAGGAAATTGAAGGAACTCTGTTGAGAAGAGGTGGGAGAGGTGACAGCTGCCTAGCCTGCCTTGCGGGGAGGCTTTCCAAGTCAGAGCAGGATGGTGCTGACATCCCCTTCTGCAGAGAGGTTGCTCACAGAACCACAATTCTTCATGAGCAAGAGGAGTCCGAGAGCCCTCAAAATTGCAGCAACAGCAGAGGGCCCTGGCTGGGGCTGCAGCAGACACCTCAGCAGGCCACAAGAGCTGGAGCTGTGCGGATGCGGGGGCCTTGGCTTTCCTGGCTGAGCTCTAGCCCTAGGAGAGGACAGAGGCCCATCCATGCACTCCTGAGGTCACAACACACTCTGATCATTCCCTCAAACCAGGTATCCCCTGGAAGGATTCGGCCGGCAACCCTCCATCCGGGGCAGCTTCTCCACCTCCCTCCTCCAAGGCAAGGCGCTTTCCCCAAGGCTCTGGGCTTGCTGGCTTCACTTCTTGGCGACTAACCAAGGACTCTGGCCCTTGAGGAGGTATAGAGAAGGAGCATTTGAGAAGGAAGCTCTCTGGTGATCGGCGCGTCCGGGGGTGCCTCCCTGACCAGGACATCCCCTGCCCCCAGCCACTGGCTGCCAGACTCCCAGCCCCTCAGAGTTGGGAGGTGCTCTCTCTACCCTCTTCCCTCCATCACCATCCCACTTGTCCTCCCCTACCTGAGAAGCGAACGTGGCCCAGGCTCAAGCTCACTGGAAGGTTCTATCGAGGAAAGGAGCTTGAGCCCAGGGTGGGGACTGCCTGCATGCAGGACCAGCTCCTCTGTCTCTGCTTTGTAACACCCCTCCCAGCTGACTCAGTCCTCTGCTTATTCTGTCCACACTGGCCACCGTAGGAGCTTCTGTCCTCAGCAGTCGTGCCCTAGCTGGCTGCACCCCTCACTTAGCACTTAGCACACTCGTCCCTGATGGGTGTGCTCCTGGTGGTTCTGGTGAAGCTCCTGGAGGGTGGAGGAGTGTGCTCTTTGGTGTGCTCTGGCGAAACTCCTGGAGGAGCTGGGTCTTACAGTCCTAGGGGCCTCTTCCCTCTCCTTCCCAGCCTGGCAGGAAGCACAGTGTCTGCACACAGCAGCTGCTTAATGAAGCTGGCTGATGACTCAGCAAGTGGTAGATGTGTATGAGCCCCCGTCGATGGCTGGATTGTAGGGGAAACACTGAACTAGGTCCCTCCTGAGCCTGGGAGTAAGAAAGTTCCTGCTCTTTAAGAGTTCACTATCAAAAATGGAAGAGCCCCTTTGCACACTCTCACATAAAGTGGAGGAAGAAAAGAACACTGAGTTCCAGACAGTTGCAGGGAGGAGAGACTCCACCAACTGAGAAGCCCAGAACTGTCTTTCCAGGGTCATGGGATCTGAGCTGGGCCTTGAAAGGAGGCAGATAAGAAGCAATGGCATCTGCAGGTAAGGGCCTGGCTCGGGCAAGCGTGTGGAGGGACAGCAGAGTGCGTGCGCAGGGCGAGTGGCAGGCCTTGGAAAGGAGGTGGGCCCACTGGGGAAGGCCCTGGGGGTGCAGGGGGCCGTGGCCCTCTACCTCCCTCTGAGTCTCCTTCCGCAGGTGCTTGGCTGTTCTCAGAGATGAACTTTTCTAGCAGACAGAGATCACTTTGCATGTGAACTGCACTGAATGCTGCCTGAGTGGCTAAGACGTGGCTCCCCTCCCTGCACCATCCTCCTGCTTCCTTCACCGCAGTGAGGGGCATCCTGCTTCAGCGACCCCTTGGGAGTTCTGCTCCTTTGAGGGGTGAACAGCTGCTCCTGCCCTTGCTTTCCTTCTCTGCTCCACATCTTGGTGTGGTGTCCTCTTTTCTGAACACTCACAGGGAGCCTGCTCTTTTTTTTTGAAATGATGTGGAGTCTTGGGTGCTCGACGTCTCGAGCTGGCTGACAATGTGTCCAAGTCCAGGGCAAGAGGAGAGACATGCTGGGGGAGTGTGTGGGGTGGTGCATGGGAGGGACACAGAGGGCCTGAAAGGAGGGAGGTGGGTGGGCCTCCCCATGCCGGTGCAGTGTCCCTGAACGTTTGTGGGGGCTTGGGGATTCCCGCGTGTGTCAGGTGGCCAGTGCTGTATTGCTTTCTCTCTGATACATCCTCAGTGTTGAGACCAATGTGAGAAACAAGCCCTACAGCTGTTCTTGCCCCAAGGCGAGCTGACCCCACTCACCCTACTCCTGGATGGCACAGGCCTACTCCGAGTTTTGTTATTCGGGGTTACAAAGCACACACATGCCACACACAGTTTTGCAAAACCAATGCCATGCATAATACTGTCGCAGCCAAATAACTCTAGGTGGTGGGGGGCACGGAGTACTCCAGCCTCCACAATCCTCCCAGGAGGTGGCCTGCCTGTGGGGCCAGAGGGCCTCAGGGTGTCGGAGCTGGAACATTTTAGGGAGATCACCCATGTCCAAGTTCTTCACTTGACGCTTGGGGAAACAGACCTGGAGTAAGGTGCCCAAGGCAACACAGCAAGGTAATGGTAGAGAAAGAACTAGAAGCTGAGTCTCTGAACTTGTTGGCCAGTGCCCTCCTCCTCTTGTGGGCTAATGGCAACCCTCCCCAGCTCCATCCTATCCCATTCTGCCAGGTGAAGGCAGGGCCGGGGAAGGGAGGCCAGCATTGGGTGGGGCTGAGATGGGGCGGAGTGGGCATGTGTGGAAGGAGCCTCCTCTTCCCTCAGCAAGCTGTGGCTTCCCTTGGCCCACATAACCACAACTACATAAATCTCAGCCTTGGGGAGAGGCACCATTTGGGCCCAGATGACCCGGTCACACTGTCACCCATGGGGTACTGGCTCATTCTTTGCAGGTATCCAGGTGGACAATGCTGGGCATGTGTCCTGCTGTGCCAGAGCACAGAGCCACAGGCACTGGAATGAGAGAGGAACCACGGGACACAAACGGCCTTAAGACCCAGCGCCTTACAATTTACAAAGAACTTTCACCAACATGCTCAGTGGGCAGGGCTGGGTGCATCTCTGGCTCCCTGGGCAGGCAGTTTTCACCAGGAGGTGCCGCATGTCCTCCAAAACAGAGAGCATGTCTTTCTCCTCTGTGAGCCCTCTGTGGCTCCTGTCCATAGGGCTGGCCTTTCCCTGATCCCTCCTGCAACGTACCTGCATCTCCCATTCCATCACTGGATTGTTCCTTCTTGCCTGGTTGTCCTGGTCTGCTGGGCGTTAGTATGGACTCCCAGCTATGTGCAAACCCTTTGACCACGTGTCTTTTTACTTCTCATCTCCCTGTACTGCATTTGACACACAGCCAAGATTCAAGTGGAGAGGCTTGGGGGCAGAGGCCTGAAGTCAGGAGCCCGGGGTGCAGTCCAGTAATAGGGTTGGGTCCTGGCTGAGTACTATGTCAGCAACAACCGTGTGGGGAGACAATGTGTTTACACACACAGGGCTAAACCTCGGTGGGGCTGCAACCCACTGGGCAGGGCAGTGTGGGCTCTGAAACCAGGCCGAGCCTTTTTTTTTTTTCTGTGACCACTAGGTGGCCTAAAGTGATGTGTGTGACCCTGCCTCAGTTATGGCCAGGACCTTCCCCATCCCCTGGGCTTCCCAGCCACCGCTGTTTCCTCTCTACTTGTTTTCCTTGACTGTAACTTTTAAACTTCTCTTTACACACATTTCTATTTTATTACATAGATTATTGTGACTTTGAATCCTTTGTGGCAGTAGCTGAAGTGTCATAAGTAAATGAATAACCTCAGGACTGTAACAAAAGAGGTTTCTTTGCCCATTTACCCAGGATATTCAGCTAACACCGGATCTCCCCTTTCCGGGTTCCAGTGAATGTTCTGCTCTATTCTGAGATCATCAGTGAGCTGTGATTTCCCTGGCCAGAGCCTGAAAGGGAATCAGGGAGGGGGTTAGAAGAATGGGGTCATACCCTGATTGCTCGGGACCTCGCCTGGGAGGGGAGGAGTATGTCCTGGAGATGGGGACACCTGCAGTGAGGGTGACTGTGAATTCTAAGGGGCAGAGGATGTGGGCTGGGCTGCATTATGACTTTTGGGGGCCCTGGGCAGTTTTGTCTTCCTCCATTAAAAAAATAGAAAAAATTATATTTTACAATTATGTTGGTAGAAAGACAAAAAACAATCCTGGCTGGATTCATGTTATACATTCACTTTTTTTTTTCTACATTTAAAAAGGTTAAGAATTAAAATATTTTTGTGGCCTCTAAAAGTACTCCGTGGCTGCTGGAGAAGTTGTCCCTGGGCTACAGGGCCATGAGAATCTGGCCCAGAGCAAGAAGCATCCCTGGGTTCACATGAGCCCTCTTTGTGTCCACAGAGATCAACTCTTGTTCACTACTGCATGGCTTCACTTTTCTTTTTTCTTTCCTTCTTCTTCTTCTTCTTTTTTTTTTTTTTTTTTAGGCAGGGTCTCACTCTGTTGCCCAGGCTGGAGTGCAGTGGTGCGATCATAGCTCACTGCCGCCTCAGACTCCTGGGCTCAAGCAAACTTCCCACCTCAGCCTCCGGAGTAGCTGGGACTACAGGCGAGTGCCACCACACTCAGCTAAATTTTGAAAAATGTTTTTGTAGAGATGAGGGTCTCACTATGTTGCCCAGACTCGCTTCATTTTTCAAATGAGGAACTTGGCCAAGACTTAGAGGAGGAAGTTGTCCAAGTTTTAAGCTAACCTAGTGACGTTTAGAGTAAGAATGTCGGTATAGGCGTTTTGGGTCTGAGCTGCATGTGATTTCATTACCATGAATGCTTGTGAGTGTGACCTCATCCCCACACGTGGCAGGGGCTGTCTAATGACTGTGAAGCCCACTAATTTAGAGTTTTGTGTGACAGCATGTGGACAGAGTCTGAGGTTAAATTTCCCCTTGTGTTGTCTAGGAAGAAAGGATGTATAAAGAAAATGCAAAATGTAAACCAGATGGGGATGTATGTAAACTACTGGAGGAATTTGTTGTTTTCAAGCTTTTAGAAGCATGAATTTATGTTGTCAAACAGTTAATAACAAACCTGTATGCTACACCGTAGGGAAGACTTAACTAGTCACTAAAACTAGTTTCCTGAGACCTTTTCTAAGCAATGCACTAAATATGGAAAGCAATACAACATTATTTCTTAAAAAAAATAAAAACAACTTCAGATTGGCCCAGCCCAAGCCCCGATCTAGGCATGTTTTCTGAATGCCCTTTGCTGGAGTGGAACATCAGATGAGGCAAAGCTCCTTCAAATGCTAGTTGTGAGTGAACCCACAAACTCATATCAAGTCAACAGCCATGATTAGCAATAGCTGGTACTAGGGACTGTCGCTCAAAACAAAACAAAGCAAAACAAACAAGCAAAAACCTACCATAACCCAACAGCAAGAGCAAATGGCTCCTTTGAAACTCTGGGGGCCCTTAGCACAACTGAACCTAAATGCTTACACAGCAAGCACTGTGATAAACTTGGGATCTGTAACAACATACATTGCTCAATAAAGTCCCCCTCCCTCCCTTTGTTGAACTTCACATTTCAAAACCTTACCCCATACTTCTGAGAACCCCTACTTCTGGGAATTTCTGCTTTCACAGGAGAGAATGTATTTAATATAATGATTAATCAGGATCATGAATTGCCATGTTTCATTTTTTTTTAATAATGAAAATGCATAAGGGTTTAAAATACTCTTCGACACACCTAGCTTAGCAAATATCATGGACCTCTACATTTATGTGAATTCACACATGAGCTAGCCAGCACCTCAGTTCTGGCTGGCCCCCTTTGGCACCAGGACACAATAATTTATTAAGCTTCAATACTTAATAAGTGTGCACAAATATCATGCAGACATTACGACCATACTCACAAACAAAAAGTGTATTAGAGACACAGGTTTATACAAAACATCTTGTAAACAAAAGGGAAAAGGGAAGAGGTTGATATTTTCTGTACAAAATATGCAGGTTTTTCTTTCTTTTTTAATAATCTGTAAGATGCATCATCCTTCTGGCATTTTCAAAAAGTGAAAACTGTATAAAAATAAATATTCTATGTACAAACACACACACAGGCCAATCCAAGGTTAGAGGCATCACTGCAAAACAAAAACAAAACAATGTTCTGTTAGTTTCAGTGGGTCTGCAGAGGTTTATTTCCTTTGTAGGAAGGGAGGTAAATCTTGTCCTAGGGTGGGTGGGACTTCTGGACAGGGGAACTGTGGGAACCCTGAGCCCCTAGGTGGAAGAAACTGGTGGCTACCTTAGCTCCCTGAAGGGTGGAAACCAAGTTCACCTCTCTGTGAATCCCCTTTGTGGTCACTAGAGGGCACTCTCTTTCTCTGCTGCCTTTGGAGGCCTGATTGTTGTAACCCCTGCCTTGTCCCAGATTGGACTTAAAGTGTAAATGAGTAGTCTTGAAGCTCTCTGGTTGCTTCTCCAAGACATTGCAGCTCTTGGTAGTGGCTGTTCTTCCCCTGCTGATCTCAACCATTTCTATCTCCTAACCATTGGCAGCAACCTTAAAGAGGAAATTTTTTTTAGGGGGCAAGGGTCCAGAGGTCTTATGACACCTCCGACCTGCTTTTGTGGTGCTTTAACTAGGTCTAGGTGGAGCTTGGCAGGAGGACGAGGCCAGGCTCCAGGGACGGATTCTGGGGAGGCATCTCTCTTGCGTGTTGAGCTCTTCCTTCTTGGGTTAGGGGGCGCTTCAGGTATCCAGGCAAGAAGGTGGTCAGCGTTAGCCTGGGGTCTTGTTGATTTCATCACTTTTACCCAACCCAGTGCACTAATGAGATTCTGGCATCTTAGTACAGGGGAGTTTGTTCATCTCATTGTAAGTGTGACTCTGCTGTCACTGGAATAGGACTGGATTCGTTGAGCACAGATTCTTGAACAGGTTGGAGTCTCCAACCCTTTATGAGGATGAACCTTGAGACAATGGTGGTGGGGGTTGGTGAGAAGACTTGGAGTGAGAAGCAGGGTGGAGGGAGACGGTATGGGGCAGCATAGCGACTGCTACCGTTGCTGGGGACCAAGGCGGGGCTTCTGGATTAGTTAGCAAGCAGATGGCCCCTGTCAGCCTGGGCAGCCCTGTGCTCTGGGGAGCCATAGTTGAATGGGGTGATCACAGGCAAGGGCACAGTCCTGTGATGTCAGACTGCTCTAATGATGGCAAATGCTAAGGCCAGTGTGAATCAATGAAAACTCATTGTCGGTAGGAACTCGGGGAGCCCAGGAGAGATTGGGCTGCAGGTCACAGTGTTGTGGCATGAAACTCTGCCAGCTTAAATGCAAGGGGAGTGGTAAAGTGAGTAGCACAGCTCCTATGAACTTACACTGTAGCTGCATGTGACCGTAGCCAATGGGAAGCTCACAGTGGCATGTGAATTCAGAGTGTAAGCAACTGAGATGTCCTACATCTAAGACATGTCATCATGTGGCATAAACGACCTCAGAGGAGCTCTATGAGTGATGGTCTGGAACTCCTTGGGGAATTTCCTTGGGGGAAAGACACTATGTACATTGAACACACAAAGCATAAAGATGTCACCTTGTGTGGCTGCATGATGTTCTAAGAAGCATTTTTAAATGTTCTTTAACAGCATGCAGTGTATGGGATGTTTAATGGGCACCCTGCCTTTGAGACAGTGACTTTTTGACCTGTGTCTTGCTGCCTCATCTGTAGCAAGGCAGAATGGAAATTGTGGAAGCTTTATGGCACTGTTGAGAATGGAGCCCCAATGCAAACCGATGGGAAGCCTTACCTTGTTCCAGCAGCCTTGGACTGGCAAGCCGTCTTCGCCCTGCAAGGAGAAAGGAAGGCAGAGGGCTCAGACTCCCTGCAGTGGTCCACCAAGCGGGCAGGACCGGGGTAACGAGGGCCACACACATTTTGGCAGCTGATCAGGATGTGGTCCACCCACTCTTGTCTATTTCTTTGCTCTACTCCAGGTCAGAACCCCAGAAGGAGGTGGAAACAAATTCGTCTATTTTCCTATTGGCTAAGGTCACATGCAGCTACAGTGCAAGGCCAATAGGGGCTGTCCTCGCCTGTGGGACGAGCAAGCAGAGATGTCCTTGAGTGTCATGAAGGAACAATCTCTGCTGTGGCCCTGTGGAGTGCTGGCTACTCACAGGCAAGCCACTCAGCACAAGGGAGCCTCAGTTTCCTCCTCCATAAAACCTTGGCAAGGGCAGTTGCTTGAAGTGACCTCTAAGGGCCTTCCCAGCCTTCTCATTCTCTTATTTGTCTCTCTTCCTAAGCAGAGGGAGGAGGACATGTGGACAGTCCTTCTCTGATGATCAATCCTGGGGTGGGGTGAGGAGCATGAAGGGACAGGCAACCTCCTGAGTATTGCAGCACGGCTCTGAGATGCCTTTGGCAAGAAGACAAGTGTTCCTGGCGAAGCCTTAGGCCTTGCTGGGAATTTGGGGGTGAAGTGCAGTAGCAACATGGGAATCAACTGCACACTGTCAGTCTCCTTTGTTGGTAGCAACCATGCAGCCCCTTTAGCCTCAAGATGTTCGTGTTCTGCCCTTGGTGACACAAACCTTCGTGAGTTTTCTTGGGCCCTCATATCCTCTCCTTGCTGGCATACCCTGTGGGGAATCTAGAAATCTAGAGACCAGGTGGGGAAGGCGAGGCTGGGCCAAGGGCAAAGATCTAGTTTTCAGCCCAAGTCTGCTAGACAGGCAGGGCAGAAAAGGAGATGGACACGGGGCTTCAGGAGACCAGAGCAAGTGCTCAGTCCTGAGGCCACTTGTGGAATGAGAGTCCTCTGCTGTCCCGGTCTAATGACATCCCCCCACGCCAGGGGCTGAAACCTCTCATCACCTGGCATTGGGCAGGGATTGGTCCCAATATGGAGGGCCTAGGAAGTCTGGTTATCTTGTAGTAGAATTCATGAGTAGTAGCTACCCCTGCCCCCCAAGTCCATAATAACACAGAGGAGGAGGCAGAGTGAGAAACAACAAGGGGAAGACACTTCCCCAGTGAACTTAATAGAAAAATGACACACTGATATGGGATGTTATGGAAGAAAATGCCATTTTACATGGAGAGCCAAATCAGGGTGACCTTCATTTTCCCCTCTGGGTTGGGGAGGGGATTGCAAGGGGAGGTGGTGCATTCCACAGTTTCAGGGTGACCCTGTGCCCTTCCCCAGCCTGCCACGGTGCGGTATGACACACATCACGTGGATGCTGGGAGGAAGAGGAGCCTCTGCGGGCCAGAGTGGCATTCCCATTGGTGTGTGGATGGTGGCAGCGGGGTATGGAGGGCAGGGCAGGCAGAGAATGAAAAGTAATGTATGGTGAGAAACAGAGAGGCCAAGGCAGCTGCTGGCAGAACTAAAGGTGCCCAGATTGCGGGGCGGGGGGTGGATTGTGGCCGAGGGAAGACCTGGCCGGTGCTCAAGGGAGCCTCTGTGGGCCAGAGCGGCATTCCCATTGTTGTGTGGATGGTGGAGGGTCCCGACTGAGAAAGGTGGCTGTGCAGGCTGCAAGTGCGGGGTTTGGCAGGACCAGCAGGGACAGGAAGCATGCTACCGCCTGCTTGCTCTGCACTCTCCTTTTGTTGCCTATGCTCCTCCTAAAAAGTCCCTACTGCCCTTCAAGGGGCTCTACGGCCCCCTGTCAGGGTCACACAGCATAATTTCTTATATCTTTTCCTCTTTTGTTCAAAGAGAATTCCTGTGTCACCCCAGGGCTGGGATGTGAGGCCCCAAATTATCTTGTTACTGGTATGATAAAATAGCTCTTGAACTCCAAACCTATCGGGAAAATTTGGGGAGAGCAGTAACCCCTTGAGCCTTGGAGTGAAGTGTTCCCTTCAGGTTCTTTTGCAGTAAGAGGATGGAGGCCTAGACTGTCCATGCCTAGAGAGGGACCGGGCAGGCAGGAATAAACTGTTACCACTTCACCTGGGACGTGCTTGGAAGACGGGCCTTTAGCTGTCTCCCTGCCTCCTCCTTAACTGCACTCTCGGCCTTTCCATCTCTCCCAGACTCTTCAGTAAGCCATCCGACCATGAAAAAAAGGGACAAGGAAGGGTCTGGTAATGTCTTTGGAGATTTAAGCAAAAAGGACAAACCCTTTAGGATCCAAAAACCTAATCCTGGACCATCCCCTAGTTCTGATGATGTCACCTGGGCAGTGACACACGACCCAACCTGGAAGAACAGGCAGGTGGCCCCTCCTCTACCTCACTTCTAGCGCTTCTCAGTCCACGCTGTAATCATGCCATTCTGTCCCCCAAATCATGCGATGGAGGGGGCAGGGGGCACAGGGCTGACACAGGCATCTCATTCACATGTTTTGCTAGGTGTTCAGCCCGTGCGTTCTGAACTAACTGCACTGCCTGAAGGAAAAGAAGTAAGTCATGGTTCTGAGAACCAGTCCCAGAGAATCCACTTTCCTAGCTGGTCTCTGGTGGCAGCTTTGTCTGGAATCAGCTTGGAGATGAGTATCAGAGGCGGCAAAGCCAACTTTAGGGTGGGAGGTCTGGCTCGCATCAGGTGGATGTGCTTTAGAAGTAGCTGCAGCAGGAAGCCAGGAAACATCCTGGTAAACTTTGCATGCAAAAGGGTGGCATGGCTGGGAGCCCCCAGAGTACTAGCCAAGGCAGGGTGACCCTGGGTATTTACAGAGTGAAGAAGCGAGAAGTGGATACTGGGGGGGATGGAGGAGGAGTGTGGAGGGCGGCTGGGGAGGCACGCAGTATGAATCACACACGTGGGGAAGCCCAAATCGGCCATGCAGGCAAGCAAGGGCAATGCCATACCAATGGGCATGGGGCATCCAGTCCGTCCAGCCCTGGTAACCCCGGCTCCCCTTTCTCTCCTTTAAAACCTCGGTGTCCCTGTTCACAAAACCAACCACGATGATTATTCAGGTCAAGGCTGGCCCGCTCCAACCATGGAGTGGAGAGGCCCAGTCCTACCCTGGCCAGGATGCAGGACCCTTGAGGCATCTACAAACAGCGGCTAAATCCCAGGTGATCCCCCACCTCCCAAATCCAGCTTTTGTGCTCTCTTTGTGCTCTGGAGAGTTCAGCTTTGCACACGTACAACCTGCCCCCTCTCCATTGATCCCACTCTCTTTATAGACTCACTCAGTGTAAACACAGACAAACTTCAACTTTAGTGCATCATAATTTTTTAGAACCTTCAAATGGATTGAAAAGCACTTGAGAAACCCAGCAGATGTGCCTCATCATTAATTGTTGTCTGTTTTGAGAAGGCTTCCCATGGGGTGTCTGACTACCGACTCTGGTCTGCAGCTTTAAAGGTTTTAGCTGGATGGCTGGTGAGTGTTGGTAGCTTGTGCATTAGAAGCCCCTCATCTGGGTTTGTTCTGCCCAGTTTTGACATCAGTGGCCCTGAGGAGACGCTAACTCCGGTGTCCTGCATCCTGACCAAGTGAGGATTCAGACAGCTTGAACTACTGGCCCACAGAGATGGCCATGAAACGAAGAAGACAAATCCGTGGCTCACAAATGCTACACTGGCTTCCAAAGCCATCCTGGAGCTAAGAGCTGAGGCCTTCCCTGAAAATCCCTTTCCTAGTGGTTTCTTCACTTCCACACATCAATTGCTGTGCATCTTCAAAGGAAAAGGATTCAAAGGCAAGGGATTTAGCCAGAATTACTTGCAGCTGTGGTTATAAAGCAATTCCAACAGTGGGCAGAATTTCACCGGTCAAATGAAAAGATTTTGGTAGCATCAGTGTAGACATTTGGTTCTCATCTTAGTTTATTTGCCTTCTTTGTTTCCAACTTGCAAACCTCAAGGACAAAAACCAGAACAATGCAAGTGATAAACAAAAACATACCAACGGGCAGGGGGCATCTAATCCAGGCGCTCCTTGGTCTCCCTTATCCCCTTTAGGCCCTCTAGAGCCTTTCTTCCCCCTCTCCCCCTGTAAATAATGGTTTAGTCCAGGGAAAAAAAAAACAACATCAAAACTTTAGGATCATTCATGTGTTAAGGTTAGAGACAGAAAAAGATAAATAAAGTTAAACAGGGAAAAAGAGGCTTTAAATTAGGATATTCTCCCCTATAGGATTTGGAGTGAATACCCACCTCCTCCCCACCCCACAGGAACCTGAGAATTTGGCTAAGGTGGGTGGGAGGGGAAGGGAGGACAGGCAGAGGGCTCAGAGCTGCAGGTGGAGGGAACCACAGATCGAAGATTTTTGTGGCCAGTTTTGCTAATACTAAGCCCAGGGTGGGTCTGTGCTGAACACAGTGGCTAGGGACCAACTTCCTTCTCTCTGAGGGTCTATTTTTGAAAGGCTTTGGGGTGACAACTTTTTTCTCCCCAATTATTGTTTATCCCTTTGACATTCTATTAGGAGGCAAGGTGATTTTGCTTGGAGCCATGGGATGTGTGTCAACATAGTGTGTATGAGTGTATACACATACGTACTTGTGCACGTGTGTGTATATGTATGTATGAGTATATGGGTATGTGCTTGTGTATGTGTGTGTGTGTGCACGTTTGAGTGTGTGTGGGTATGTGCTTGTGCATGTGTGTGTATATGTATGTATGAGTATATGGGTATGTGCTTGTGTATATGTGTGTGTGCACGCACGTTTGAGTGTGTGGGTATGTGCTTGTGCACGTGTGTATATGTATGTATGAGTATATATGTATGTGCTTGTGTATATGTGTGTGTGCACGTTTGAGTGTGTCTGGGTATGTGCTTGTGCACGTGTGTGTATATGTATGTATGAGTAGACAGGTATGGGCTTGTGTATATGTGTGTGTACGCACGTTTGAGTATGTGTGGGTATGTGCTTGTGCATGCATGTGTATATGTATGTATGAGTATACAGGTATGTGCTTGTGTATATGTGTGTGCACGTGCACATTTGAGTGTGTCTGGGTATGTGCTTGTGCACGTGTGTGTATATGTATGTATGAGTATACGGGTATATGCTTGTGTATATGTGGGTGTGCACACGTTTGAGTGTGTCTGGGTATGTGCTTGTGCACATGTGTATATGTATAGTATACAGAGTATATGCTTGTGTATATGTTTATGTGCACATTTAGTGTGTGGGTATGTACTTGTGCACGTGTGTGCCTCGTATGCATGAGTATACGGAGTATGTGCTTGCGTATGTATGAGTATACGGGTATGTGCTTGTGTATATGTGTGTGTGCGCACGTTTGAGTGTGTCTGGGTATGTGCTTGGGCACATGAACACGTGTGTGCCTGTACACATGTGTGTCCATGTGCACATATGTATGTGTGTGTCCAGAGCTCACGGATGGCCCCTGGGTCTCAACTGGGTTCTCCCGTTCTATGTGTGTCTCTGCTTCATCCTGGTCTGAAGTCAGATAGTTATTTGTATATGAATATGTTGGTTTAAGGAATTCATTTGTTTCTGAAAAGCTACAGTAAACATCATTTTTCTAAATTGAATCCTGTATTGTATGTGTCAGAGTCTATTTAAAGAAGGGCTGTGGGGAATTCTTTTTAAAAGGGAAGCATCACCTCTGTAATGAATTTGCATTTGCATTTTTATATGTGTGTTTCCTAAAAAGGGGGCCCAGTATGCCCCTAGGGAGTCTTCCTGGGAGCTCCCCTCCTCTATGGAAGGGGGATTATCTAATGCTTGGGGACTTCAACAGTGTCGCTCCAGGGTGACATTGAAGGCTGGGCAGCATATTAGAACAAAGGCTTGAAGTCAGAGTTGGTTCTGACAGTTAGCTGTGTGACTTTGTGAAACTACTTCTTTGAGCCTTAGTTTCTTTACCTGTAAAATGGGTACAGTAGTACCTGCCTCAAAAATTTGTTGTGAGGCTGGGCATTGTGGCTCATGTCTATAATCCCAGCACTTTGGGAGGCCAAGGCAGGAGGATCACTTGAGGCCAGGAGTTTGAGGCCAGCCTGGACAACAAAGCAAGACCTCATTTTTGCAAAGAATAAAAAAATTAGTCGGTTGTGGTGGCATGTCCCTGTAGGCCTAGCTACTCAGGAGTATGAGGCAGGAAGATCACTTGAGCCAAGGACAGGAGTTCAAGGCAGCAGTAAACCATGATTGCACCACTACACTCCAGCCTGGGCAACAGAGCAAGACTCTGTCTGAAAAAAAATGTTGTGAGGTCTTTGTGCACATTAAATGCTTTATAATGGCATATAGTATGTGCAAAGTAAATGACAGCTGCTTCATAATGATAATAATGGTTACGATTTCTTTTTAGCCAGTATAGGAGCCAAAGGTTGGGGTCAGAGGTTGTCATGTGCAGTGTTCCTGCAGTGGAAGGCTGCAGGGTAGATGTTCATTAGAGGAAGGCAGAGGATAAGAATATTTTTGGCTGGGCGAGGTGGCTCATGTCTGTAATCCCAGCACTTTGGGAGGCCGAGGCAGGCAGATCACCAGAGGTCAGGAGTTCGAGACTAGCAAAACCCTGTCTCTACTGAAAATACAAAAATTAGCTAGGTGTGGTGGCACATGCCTGTAGTCCCAGCTACTTGGGAGGCTGAGGCAGGAGAATTGCTTGAACAGGGGAGGCAGAGGTTGCAATGAGTCAAGATTGTGCCACTGCACTCCAGCCTGGGTGACAGAGCTACACTCTGTCTCAAGCAAACAAGCAAACAAAATAATATTTTTGATGTTTCTCCAGATCTTCAGAAATTATTCAAATTTCTCTATTTCGGAGGTTGACTGCAATTGCCAGTGCATTATTCTAAATGAATGTTCTGAAAATGCAAATCCTTACTTAGAAAATGACATGTGTTTAAATATGTATGCACATATTGGGTATATTCCCATCGGCCTGAAGTTTTGTCTGCCAGCAAGAACATCATGGCACAAATCATCCCCAAATGGTAGACCAGCAGAACCACTAGCTCTCTGGGTGTGGAAGCCCCCTGGTAAACTCTCTCAGGAGGGTGGCCCCTCATTCTCTGGGTCATGAGCAATTTCCTAATGAAGAAAGTCAGCAAATCTGCCAGAGTGGGGGATCCCAGGTCCAGGATACCCCGGGGCAACAGAGGGTTGGCGTGTTCCAGACTTTCACAACAGGTAACGGACACTATGGGACATGGTGTTCTAAGAATCTGCACAATTGCCCCAAATCTGGTGTCCTTTGAGGCTATTAGAGTAGTAATGTCACCTGCATTCTCCCTGCCTCCCACTCCCAGACAGTGACACAAAAGACCCATTACAAAGAGGGAACTGTAGCTGGTAAGGAATAAAGGGGCAAATAAAGTCAAGGGGCAAAGGCTTCTTAAAAACTAAGTAAATGTCTAACAGTGGACTTTGGAGGAGATAAACTGAAAGCTGGTGAGGGGGAGGGGAAAGGATGAAGGACGTGGGATTATTATAATGGAATGAACATATCTGGGGGGTGAAGGAGTAAAGGAAGAGGCCAAAAGAGATAGGGGAGGAGGAAGAGGTGAGGAGACAAGACGGACTTAGGAAGTGAGACATACACACACAGACATGCACACACACACATGCACACACGCACATGCACACACACATGCACACACACATGCACACACGCACATGCACACACACATGCACACACGCACATGCACACACACACATGCACACACACAAACATGCATGCACCCCCCACCCCCCAAAGTTGGGCATCTCAGAGAGCAGAAGCAACCTCACTGCATGCACACAGACCTTTTCAGCTGGCTGGTTTGCAGGCAGCTCCACAGTAACACCCAATTTTCCTGAATGATTTTATTGCCAGATTCATGCCACCCTTTATCCTTTGACTGATTTCTTAGCCTAAAGGTGGCTCCTGGGCCGAATTCACAGAGCTACTTAGGGGAAAGGGGAAGCACCCTTAGTGACAAGGTCAGGATATTCTTTCCACTGGCGTGTGTGTCCTTAGAAAGCTCCTGGTCTGGGGCTCTGGGCCTTTGCCCATCATGACAAGGACTTTCCTTCCATGAACAGGAAACAGGTTCTGAGGCCATCCTTTGGTGGGACATGGAGAAGCATACTTTTAAGATTGTATCTTGGTTCACTGTAAGATAAAACAAATCTCAGGGCCAGGTGTGGTGGTTCATGTCTGTAATTCCAGCACTTTGGGAGGCCGAGGCAGGCGGATCACTTGAGGTCAGGAGTTCGAAACCAGCCTGGCCAACATGGTGAAACCCCGTCTCTACTAAAATTAAAAAAAAAAAAAAAATTAGCTGGGTGTGGTGGTGCACAGCTGTAGTCCCAGCTACTCAGGAGGCTAAGGCAGGGAATCGCCCGAACCCGGGGGGCGGAGGTTGCAGTGAGCCGAGATCGCACCAGTGCACTCCAGCCTGGTGAAAGAGCGAGACTCCATCTCAAAGAAAAAGAAAAAAAGGTCAGAATGGGGAGGCAAGACAGAGAGGGGACTCTTTCAGGACATTCGGGCATCCTGAGAGCCAAATCCCTGGAATGAAGAGAACAACCTGCCCTGGAGTTGGAAACCTGCTCTTTGGGAATAAGTCAATTGGCTCTTCATGGTGTGCATGAAAGAAAGGTGCATGCCACCTCACTGTTTTCTGAACTTGACTTTTACTAAGGGACACATTCCTAATTTGTAAAGGGGATGGAGGAAAGTGTGTCAAACGTCAGGAAGGGGAGGGGGAATAGACATACTTTCCCACTGATTCCTGGGGCCTCCACGGATGACTCGATAACCTCAGCTGCTGCAGCATCAGAGTCGCCAGCCCCCTCCCTCCCTCTGTGTGTGACAAGGGTACTTGTCCTGCCTCCACCTGTAGAGCAACATGATCACCGTCCCTCGAAGGGCTGATTTTGCAGCCTTCAGGCGGCTCAGTGTCTCCAGCCAACTGAAAAAGTCTGAAGAAGGAGGTTTAGAAAATACTAATTGAATTTAATAAAGAAAACTAGAACACGTCAGAAAGACATTTGAAAGGAAGTTAGGACGCCAATGAAGAGGTGGAATGATCAAAGATTTTAGAAGCCTAAATCCTTTGATGTCACACTGAGGAAAGTCCTTCACAGTGTGCCTTAGAGCATCTGGAAGCAGGTCTGTTTATTCTGGCGGTTTCCAGACCTGGTCTTGCCATGGGCAGGGGTGGCGCTGCTGCTCCCTCTGTTTATAGAAGATGAGGGACAAACTGAGTTGCTTTTGACCAGCTGCCAGTGAAGAGCACTTAGGAAAATGGGAGTGCTCACTAAATAGATCTTGAATCGAAGAGAATGGAATTCACTCTTGTCAGATGAGCATAGGCGTTTGCGCACTTTCTGTGCATGAACATGGCGTCAGTGTGCAAAGATCAGCCAAAAGACCTGGGTTCTGGAGACCGTGTGCTCTGCCTCTAACTCTCCATGGGAACCCAGAACACATAATCATTGTCTGGGCCTTGTTTCTCCATCTGTTCCTTCTCCTCTAAGTGCCTGGGATTTTAGGACCTGCTAGAAGACATACTTGGCTTGTAGGGGGTGTGCCCCCAACTCCAGGAAGCCGCACGATGCGGCAGCAGATGAGACCCTCCAGAGGGGAACCCAAAGGCCATCTCTTGGTCAAATGTAGTGAAATTCTCCCTGCTGGGCCCAAATGCTGAAGGTCGTGGCAGGTGCCACAGCCTATTACGTGGCTGTGGGTGCCATGGGCATTTGGTAAGTGTGTCCTGGCGACGATGGCAGAAACCAAAGGGACAGCAAGAGTCTGAGAAGGCACATGTCCTTTCAGAGCCCTGCCAACTCTTTCCAAGAGAAATAGTGGCTATAATATTTTTAAAAAGGGTTGGCTGCTTCCAACAGCTGTCTGCTTGTTCTTGGAGCTGGAATTTATTTTCTCTCTCACCAGTGGCCCGGAATGCCTGGCAAAACCAAGTTTCAGAAGGCGAGGACAAGGTAGCAATGGATCTAAAGTGATCATATAGGGGCCCACGATCAGGGAAACCTAGAAAGAGCTGGACACATGGCTCTTGTTGCTGGATAGCAATGCTAAGCTGGTGGCTGCTGTGGGATTCAGTCTCTCCTTGCTGTGTGGAAAAATACGTGCTTCCATGTGAGGATCAGGCCCTGGGCTCCATACATGCCACGGGTTAAGGCCCTACTTGTAAAGCCTTTCAATTTAGCGTGACTTATCAGGAAAAACTGTTTGCTATGTTGGTCAGGAATCACCGACTGATCATTCCACCCCAGCATGAAGACATTAGTAACCAGAGTGCGAGTGCGGGCGCTCAGACTCACCCGGTTTCCCTTGTCCCCAGGTGGTCCATGTAAACCCTGCAAGAGATCAGAGGAACAAAGGCATGTTAATGAGGACACACAGGCCGGCTGTACAGTGCTTTCTTCCAGGCTCATCAAACTCCCGATGCCTCACTCACTGGAAACAGGTTTAATTATTCCCATTATACAGAAAGGGGACAGAAGCAAATCGCTCAGAAAACTTGACCTAGAGGCAAATGATGAGTTCTGGGCAAAGCCAAGAACACACTTCAGGCTAGGCGCGGTGACTCACGCCTATAATCCCAGCACTTTGGGAGGCTGAGGCAGGAGGATCACGAGGTCAAGAGATTGAAACCATTCTGACCAAGAAGGTGAAAGCCTGTCTCTACGAAAAATACAAAAAAAATTAGCTGGGCGTGGTGGTGGGCACCTGTAGTCTGAGCTACTCTGGAGGCTGAGGCAGGAGAATCGCTTGAACCTGGGAGGCGGAGGTTGCAGTGAACCGAGATCATGCCACTGCACTCCAGCCTGGCGACAGAGTGAGACTCCATCTCAAAAAAAAAGAGAGAACACAGTTCTGGTTTTCTCGCCTCTCCAGCCCAGGTCCTGCACTGTGACTGGGTTCTCCCGAGGTCACTACCTCAGGTGAAGGGTCAGTTCTGAGGATGCGCTTGCAGGGGGCCAGGAATGCTCTTGGCAGAGGGGAGTTCCCAAGGCTTTCCTGCCAGGCTCTTGCTAGACCCTCTTTTCAAGGTGCAAAATGCTGTTCATTCTATAGCTAGGGGAATTTAGCATGAGATAAGCCTGGACCAGATGTGCGTACCTGGCCAACACACACAGCCTCCAGTGGATGGGAAACTAAGGTATGGGCTCTTGCAGGCAGACACCCAACTTCTGTAACAAAGTGGTAGGAAAGCGTGCTGCGATGGAAAGCCAGGTGTCCCCTGCATGGCCCAGCTCCCCTGGGAAGCTGCTCCGCTCATGAAGCCTCTCCTATCACAGGGGTCTGGATTTGATTCTGCCCCTCCTGAGGGCAGGGGCCACGGCACACTCATTACTGAGGCCAGGCTGCACTTAACACAGTGGGAGGGGCTCACATCCCATTACAGGGTCCACGTGGCAGAGGCCCTGGTCCTCTCACAGCACAGTGCTAGCCCATCACCAGTTGCCTCTTGGCAGCTTCCTCTGTCATGGAAATGAGAGTTCTCCCTCCGCCCTGGATTTGTGCTGCTCCAGGCCCTGGGTGTTTGCTTTTTTGAGGTGGAGTCTTGGTCGTTCACCCAGGCTGGAGTGCAGTGGTGCGATCTTGGCTCACTGCAACCTCCAGTTCCTGGCTTCAAGCGATTCTCCTGCCTCAGCCTTCTGAGTAGCTGGGATTACAGGCGTGTGCCACCACACCTGGCTAATTTTTGTATTTTTAGTAGAGACAGGGTTTCACCATGTTGGCCAGGATAATCTCTATCTCCTGACCTCGTGATCCGCCTGCCTCAGCCTCCCAAAGTGCTGGGATTACAGGCATGAGCCACCATGCCCAACTGCCCCTGGGTGTTTCTAATGGGGGCAGGGGTGGGAGGAGAGGAACCTCTGATCCCAAGAGACTCACAGGAAGCCCAGCTGCTCCCGTTGGTCCTGTCATCCCAGGGTCTCCTTTGCTGCCCTGAAATGGGAGAAAGAAATGCATGAATCCTCCCAGACGTGGTAACTTGCCATTTTCTACTTTGGTATGAAACACAAGAAACCTCTCCAGTCCCCTCAAGAGCCCTCCGGGAAGCAAGGGCTGTGGGAAAGGTGGGGCGTTGCTGATGCGAACACTGCCTTGGGGAAGGGGCTCAGAAGCCTCCCTCACTCTCCCTCCAGCACAGCCTATCCCCCAAGGCCCCCCAGAATGACCAGTGGGGTCCTGGGCCTGGCTGGCCTGAGGCAGAAGCAGGGGAGAAGAAAGCCAAGCAGAAAGGCAGGGGAAGAGAAAGGGAAGAGAAAGAGAGCTTTGCTTCTTGTCCGGAGCCTTAAGGGTCACCCCTCAGAGCAGCCTCCTGATTTCCCCAAGCTGGTGGTCATGGAGAAGCTTGCGTCCTCTGCAGAAGCTCCTGCCCTCCCCACCTGAGACACAGCCAGCAAGATGGGCAGATGGGGAGTGCAGGGAACTGCCCATGCAGGCAGAGAACTCGACGGATGTCCACGCAGGGACCTCTGAGCCCTGAGTGTGTAGAACCCAGGGGTGGCTGGGAAGAGCTGATATAGAAAGACACACAACTCCCCTGCCTCCACTCAGCCGACGCCTTCCACCCTCACCCTCGGGCATGCCCATTTCAGCAGGCAGGCCTGGAACTGCAAGTCCTATGACATGGCCAATGTCCCTCGACAGCGACCGTGGGAGCCTGGCCTATGGCTCTGGCCTCCTGACTTCTTGCTGTCCTCCAGGAATGATCTAAACACCACCTGGCCCTCTGTTCCATGCTGTTTCCCTAAATCATTACAAAGTTGAGGCATGTCCAGTGACAATGGCACCCAGGGCCTTGCCAGACTGAACCTGAGATGGACACAAGGTGGCTAGAAGCCAAAGTGGAGGAAGATCTCCAATTCCTTTTTTTTCTTTTCCTCTTTTTTCTTTTTCTTCTTCTTCTTTTTTTTTTTTTTAAAAATAGAGATAGGACCTTGCTCTGTCTCCTAGGCTGGAGTGCAGTAATACAATAATGGTTCACTGCAGCTTCCACTTCCTGGGCTCAACTGATCCTCCTGCCTCAGCCTCCCAAGTAGCTAGGACTAGAGGTGCACACCATCATGCCTGGCTAATTAAAAAAAAAAATTTATAGAGTCGGGGTCTCACTATGTTGTCCAGGCTGCTTTCAGACTCCTGAGCTCAAGTGATCCTCCCACCCTGGCCTCCCAGAGTGTTGGGATCACTGGTGTGAGCCAATGTGCCCGGCCTCTCCACCTCCTTTATTCCTCCAAGTTTAGTTGACTCATAACTACACAACCAGCCCCATTGTCCCAGGCTGCTGTGAGGATGACAGAAGAAGAGATGCAAGAAGGAAGGCATGAGGGCTGAGACTCCTGGTGTTGGGTCCCAGACCTGCCCCTCCCTACTGGCCGCCTGGGCCCCTGTGGTTCACTAACACTCACCCTCTCGCCCTTTGGTCCTGCTGGGCCTGGAACTCCAATTGGTCCTGGAGTACCCTGGGGAAGGGAAAGAAAGCAGAGGTGAAGGTCCCCACCTGCTGGGGAGCCCTGGGTGCCCCACCCGATGCCTGGAGATGAGCAAGGTCCAAGGCCCAGTTTTCAGGGTTGGCGAGGCCAGGCTCGTTCAGGGCAGTCATTCGACTGGGCCGTGATCCTCTTAGGGTTCAGGGGCTGTTGGGGAGAGAGCACCTCCCCATGCCTCAGAGCCAGATTCATGGACTGAAACCCTTTTGCTTCACAACCAAGCTTGCCAAGGCTGAAAACAGTGGGAGAATGGTTGCTTAGTTTTGCTCCCAGAAGCACTTGGGAGGGAGTGGACCCATCCCAGGGCAGGGGCCGGGGGCTGGCACCCTCTTTGCTGTTGCAGCTCCACATGCAGCGGGAGGGTCTTCATGCCACAGAGATGGATGCGGACGCACACACAGGGGCAGACCATAGAGGGTGGTTCAGCCAACGCCCACCCCACCCACCTACCGCAGACCCACAGCCCTGGCCTCAGCCTCTGGCCGGGGCCTTCTCGCCCCACTCGCAGGCCTGCGAAACTGGCTGGATTGGGGGTGAATTAGGATGCCTCAATGTCTGCACCGACACTGGCCTGGCAGGGAGGTGTGTCATGAGCTCTGCCAGCCCGGGGCTGGGGGCGCTGGAGCCATTGGAGCACATGGCTTAGACATGGAGCATCAGGGCTTGCTCTGGCCTCATCCAACATCTTCCCAGGTTCCCAATTCACAGCCTGGCCAGACCAAGTCTCTAGTTCAGCATCTCCTATTTTGGCCTCGGATGAGGACAGGAGGAGTGGATTGGGCTGTGGGCAGTTTCCGGTGCTCTGAATGCATCTGCGAATGGTGGGGCATGACTTACTTCACAGGAGACAAAGAGGGGAGTAAGATGACCTCAGGGCCCCCTTTCCAAACACAAGGAAGGAAGGAAGGCTGTAGGCATCTATAATAGCACAGCAGAAAGTAAAAGGAGACCGGGCGCGGTGGATCATGACTGTAATCCCAGCACTTTGGGAGGCTGAGATGGGCGGATCACCTGAGGTCAGGAGTTCAAGACCAGTCTGGCCAACATGATGAAACCCCAACTCTACTGAAAATACAAAAATTAGCCAGGCATAGTGGTGGGTGCCTGTAATCCCAGCTACTTGGGAGGCTGAGGCAGGAGAATTGCTTGAACCCTGGAGGTGGAGGTTGCAGTGAGCTGAGATTGCACCACTGCGCTCCAGCCTGGGCAACAGAGCGAGACTCTGTCTCAGAAACAATAAGGAGTCAGCTCAGGCCAGCGGTTCAGCACAGCACCACAGAGTCACCTGGCTGGCCTTGCCTCGGAGGCCTACAAATTCCTGGGTATTGGAGAAGCTCCTTAGCCTTGCTGAGTGTCAGTTTCCCCGTCTGTACCACGTGTGTCTGCTTCCTCGACCGTGCCCGGTTTCCATGCATGAATGCATAGCAAGCATTTGGTGCTGAGCCTGACGTGTAGGAAGTGCCCAGTAAATGTTAATATTGGCAGGGAAGGCTTATTTTCCCCCCACATTTTCCCTTAAAGTTAGGATACTGATTTTACGAGGAAAATAAAGCCTCAGTTCCAAAGGGATGGAGTGTATGAATTTGTACTTCTTCCCTCGGTCTAACGTAAATGGGAGAAGCCATTGAGAGGAAAGTCTTGGTTTCTCTGATTGCAACCACAGATCAACCCTGAGCCCTGCCCCACACCTGAGACAGGTGTGCTAGGTGGGGGAAGGATGGAGACGGAGGGACTGTGGCGAAGGAGCAAAGCCATAATAACGCCTGGAAGCCGGGGCATGCTCTCCGCATGTAAGGGTTTAGGGTGTGAACTCCATCAGTGCAGGGAGGTGGGAGGCTCTGAAGAAGTCTGTCATCTTAGGCAAGCCATGCCACCTCCTATGTATGAGGGCACAGAATAGGCATTCAGTAGGACGGGGCTCTCACAGGGGTCACTCTTGATCCCCCTACCTCTAAAAGCTCTGGGCTTCTCTTGGTGCCAGTTGCAAGTGCCCCCGGCCCCCTGGGAAGACCCGTGAGCCTGTGCTTCAGCACATCCCCTACGCTCCACACACGAACCCTGGCAAGGTCTCCCCTCCCCTGAGGGTGGCTCTAGCCAGCTAACTACAACTCCATGCAGGCCATGGGCAGACATGGCCTTGAAAGCCCTCTGTAGGACAGAGCAAGATCTCCCTGGCTGGAAGCGGCTGGGTACACAGAGCTCTCGTGATGGTGCCCGAGCAGGGACTCGAGACTTGAGGGCGAGTGAGCTCAACACCCTGCGAAGGCTGACCTCAGAGGGCGCTCAGGGGTGGGACCCGAAGGTGGACAGGAGGGATGTTTCCTCCGATCCTTCAGTTGTTAGTCATAAGCAGAAGGGCCAGGTGCTTTCTGGTCAAGAGTAAATGATGCCTGTTTTCTGGAATCAGAAAGAATGGAGGAAGAGAGGACCCAAGTGTGCCTCACTTGCTCTGTAATGAACCACCTTGTTGGGTTGCAGGGCGGCTGTGGTGTCATAGGCAGTGCAAGAGTAGTCAGAATGTGCATAAGACACAGAGCTGGGCCTGGCTTCTGTGCTCCTACAGGCTACTTGTGTCCTCAACCTTCAAAGCTGTCCTACCCCACAAATACCAGACTGGTGGCTGCACAAAACTAGGAGGCCCTCGTGGGAAGACAGGAGATGGACAGAGCTCACAGCATGAAGACAACACAGCATGACGGGCACACACAGACACTGGTGTGTTTGGTGGAGAGAGGCCATGGCTCAAACCTCCAGGGCTGGGCACCCAGGCTGGACTCAGCGTTCCTTTGGAATCAGGAGCGGTGCTGCTGGAGTGGCCTCCCACCCCACACCTGGCAGGTTTGAGGTCCCTGGGTGTATTCTGTGGACTGCGGCATTCAGATGAAGGCCAGCCATATTTAGTCAAGAGGCCAGAACAGGCCCTTCAGAGCATTGATGGCACCTTTCTGGTGTCGGAGGTGGGACAAGGTATGATTCACTGGGAAAATGAGGCCACAGTGGGACAGACAAAAGGGATCACAGGCCAGGTGTGGAGTGGGGTGGGGTGAGGGGTGATGGAGAAGTGACACTCACCGGTGGCCCAGGCCTGCCGTCCAAACCTGAAGCTCCCTGGACGAAGGGCACAGTTTGACCAAAAGAAGGGGAAGAGAGGATTGGGAGGGAGAAAAAGGGAACAATGGGGAGGGAAGAGGTGAGTAAAGCAGTGACTCTGGACAGACATAAATGCTGGTAATCAAACACAACTGGAGAAATAAGCTTGGGAGGACAGGGGATGGTATTCACATGGAAACCAACGAAAACATGGAGACACTGAATGCAGTGGCTGGCTGCTGAGCAGGCTGGGTGGAGGTCGGCGCGGATGGCCACCTGCTCCTCCTGCTCCCGCCTCTCCTTTCTCCCTTTTTTCCCTCTCAGGAACCCCTCTCCCTTCAGTGTTATGGGGTAAGGGATACAGAAAGGAATGCTTGGAGAGATGTCTTGGAATCAGAGCTGTGCACCCTTCCCAGGACAGGTTTCACTGGGGAGGGGCCCCAGGTGAGGACGGCTCTCCCATCCTCTTTGCATTCCTGTTTGGATCAGGCCATGCTGTGGTGCCCCTGAGGGTCTCAACCCTGGGTGACAGCACCCAGTTGTGAAATCTGGGTAGGAGTTGGTCTGCTTATCCTTCAGCCTGGGGAAATGAGTTGGCTCTTAGATGATATTACAAATGACACTTGACATTTTGCTGGCACTTTACAATCTGAGATGCTCAACCCGAATTCGATCCACTCATATGCTCCCAGACAAGGGCTCTTGTGTAGGTAAAGGCTTTGGAGGCAGCGGACTGGGACAGAGGTCTAAGGCCATGTATTTCCCGGAGCAAATGGGCAGCAGGTGGGAAGCTAGGAGACCAACCTGCTATCAGCACCCTCGCTCGCTCTTGTCCGGTGAAACACATGGTTGGTGGTGGTGCCAGGGGGTGGGGGGCACTCCTGTTCCAACCCGGGGTTATGAAGCTGCCTCTGAAACCCACCCAGGAAAACCCAGGGACCCTTTTCTAATGATTCCAATGTGACAAGTCAGGGAGAAGGCAATGGCAATACTCTGGCCCGGTAAGGACTGAGTGCTTGAAAACTGCTTCCAACTGAGCCTCAGCCTCAGAATTTCAAAAGAAAAGGAAGTCCCTAGAAGAGAGAGGCAATGAGCTGCTTCTTCATGGAAAAGGTGTTGGGTAGAAGGACTCTGCAGGGACTCTTCTCACATTTAGGACCACACGATTCTGGGACCGACCTTGACTCACTGGGCTAGAGAGCTGTGGTTCTCAGCCCTGGCAGCACATTAGAATCTCTTGGGGGCAATGTTAAGTAAAACATGCCTGGGTCCCACCCCATCCCAGCCCAATCCAATTCAAAATCTCCAAGAGCGAAGCCCGGGGTGATGGTAAGTTTGAAAAGCTCTCAGGGGATTCCAGTGTGCAGCCAGCATTGAGAACTGCTTCTGCAGGGCAAATGGGGGAACACTCCAGGATATGCCTGGAGAAGCAGGCTGCTACTACGTGGAATAAAACATTCAGGCGAAACCTGGAAACAGAATGGTAGCTAAATATCCATGTACTTTAAAAAAAATGCAGCATTAAAACTCAGTTGTCTTGTAGGTCTGGAGCAGAAGGCACAAACTGGAGGCTTTCAGGGCACATGTGGGCCACTGACATATTTTGTATGGTCTGCAGTGTTGCAAATAATTTTGATCTAATGTTAGAAAATGGAAAGATTTCACATAAAACACCAGATGTTTAGCTTCCTTTGAAAAATAGGAAGATCCAGAAATACCAGCTCCGCCTTCCTCCAAGGCAACAGTCAGCTGAGCTGAGAAGGGACGGTTCCCCTTAAAAAGGGATAAACGGTCTCTAGTGTACCGCAATCCCCTCCATTCCCTAGTGTCTCCCTCAGGTTTGTGTCAGTTGTCTTGTATGAATATGCTTGTTCTGTTGTTTACTTAAACTAAAAAAAAAAACAAAAAAAAACTTCTTTGTACCCATGCCTCTATCAAAAGTGAGAAAATTAATGATAGAGTAGGTACTTTGTCTTTCATCTGGCACTTTCCTTGTTTATATTAATATTACTTGCTTGGTCTCCGTGCCTTTTGCATTTCAACCCCTGACTGAATTCTCCAGTGTTCATCAAGGGCGTCGGGGCCGTGAATGTGGATAAGGAGAGGTGTAGTTGAGTGGGGCAGGAGGCTCTTTAATAGTAAAGAGCACTTAATCATTCCAGACACAGTGTAAGACATGGGAAAATGCCTGCTAAAGTCATCAGTTTTCTGTAGTCTGTCAAGCAAATTGGCTTCTTAAATATTCCTACCTCGAATGCATTCATGAGGGTATAATTATACCTCCTGCATTTGCTGTTTGGTTGCTGTGATTGTATTAACCAGGCCTTCAAGCTCTGCCAAGTGGGGTAACTGGGCTTTCCATTGTTTCTCTGCTCTTTATGGCTACCTGGGGTGGGAACTGGCCTTGAGCCCAGGACAGAGGAAGCCTGAGTGGTTGGAAGGAGTTGCTTTGCGAGGCCATGGCCTCAGAGCAGCCTCTGGCTTGGCCACCAACTTTGTATGTGACCCCCAGTGACCCACTTTCTTCTCTGGGACCATCAGTGAAATGATGAGATGGATTGCTAACATCCCTTCCAGCTCTTGGAAGAATGCCAGAAGAATGCCAGCCTCAGGGGAGGGTTAGGGGGCATGGAGCCCCGGCTCCAGGGAGGGTGGTGGGATGCGCTCACCTGTACACAGGTGAGCCAGTGAAGAGGCCATCAGCCCTAACCAGCCCAGCCCATATCATGACATGGGAACACCTTCGAGCAGCTGCCCACCTCTGACCTGAGGCCTCTGGCTCTGGGCAGGCTGATATCAGACATCTCCAGGAACCCAGGAGATGAATGGCCTTGGCCTGCTGGGACCACAAAGTCTGACTTTGTCTGTGCCTTTCTGCCATGACCAGTGCTTAAGAGGGGAGAACAGGAGTTCTCTTGGGGTCCCTCTGGGAAAATGACTGTAATGGAGACTATCTCCTTGTCCCACTACTTCCAAACCCTCCAAGCTTGGTTCCCATAAAGGCAGCAGGCTTTGATTGCTTCTGAACCAGGCTCAAGCAGGGCCTGAAGCTGCCCTACCAGCTCAGTGCCCCTTGGGGTGGAGGAGCCTGTCTTCTTCAGCATTGCCTTTCCCCAGCACCAAGGTGGGGCCTGGGCCCAGAGGAGGAAGAGTAAATCAGAGCCTGCGCTCTTGCCCAGGTGGGAAAACCAAACCATGTGGAGCTCTGCATGCTCAGACTCTAGAAACTTAGCTTTCCAGTGGCTGTCTCCCGGTTCCAGCCCACACCCCTGGCCCGTCAAACCCACCAGTCTTGCTGGGTCCAAGGTACTTACGGGTAGTCCCAGGGGACCACGGTCTCCTTTTTCTCCCTGGATGCCTTTCTCTCCTTTTGCTCCATCTAGTCCTGCTTCCCCCTGGAGGAAAGGGAGAGGGGATGAGATCACACAAGGACATGTCCTATACAATTCATTCTTGCATTCTGGGGTCGTGGAGACTGGGGTGGCATTTGTAGAGGAGGGAGGAGTCAGGGGTGGCGGGCTGAGGATACCAAGAATCCCTGAATTCTTAGCCTACTCCCGCCTCAGTGAGTAGCCCATGTATCCTGTGGGAGCTTTGAGAGCCCCATAGAGAAAAGGACTAGGTGGTGGGGGGATAAACCCACAGGTCAGGCCTTGGCACAGGTGCCCAACTGCATGGTAGGAAAGCGGGAACCTTACAGAGATTTGCATAGTTGCCTGAGATGCTACCTCCAGATCCCTGAGGCCCACAGCCTAGTCGGGAGAACAAACTGCCCCAAAGTCTCTTGAATACTGGGGCACGAGGAAAGGGCCATGGTCACACCAACAGCCAGCAGCCCCCTCATCCATTTGAAATGCTTGAGGGGAGGCCAGGAGAGCCCAGTGCAGAGTCCCCCCAAGCTTGACCCGGGGAGGAGTCCCACCCTATGTTGCTATCTGTCTCCCACCTCTACTCAGCATGAGTGAAGGGGCTGGGGCAGGTTTGATAGGAAAAGGATTTTAACCATTGGCTAAGAATTTAACCTGTCACTTTGTGGGGTGATGGATGGGAAGCTTCTGAAGCCAAAGCATGCCAGGTGTCAATGATGGATGCTAAAGGGAACCTAGGACTTCCCCCTGCCCTGACTGGACCCCCTTGGCTGGAGTGTCACATAATGCCTTCTAGGAAAAAGGGTCAGCTGATCTCGGGTGCATTTTCCCTCTTTTCTACTAGCACTGACATAGCGCCTGTCATGTGATTTCTCCTTACCTTTGGTCCAGGAACACCTTGGAGCCCCTGCATTTGGAATAAAACAAGGTGCATTAGAACTGCATCTCTAGTTAACACAACTGCCTTGTCCACAAATGGAACACAGAAGAGCAAGGGTTTGGGTGCAGAGTGTGGTTTGGGGTCCCTGCCCATGAGAGGTAGAAGGAAATGCTAAGTGGAGGTAATGCTTGAGGCTTCCTAGGGAATAGTCTGAGCCAGTCTTTTCCAGCCAGGGCTCACAGAAAATCTCTCTGTGGTCCTCATGGTTGACCCAGAGTCTCATGAAAGAAAGATGCAGAGGTAACACAGCAAACATTAAATTAATACATGCAAAGTGCTTGGAACAGTGTCTGGCATCCAGTAAGTTTCAATAAACATTGGCTACTATCATTATTCCTACTGCTACTTCTACCATCCACAACAGAGGACACCAGTGCCTTGGGGACCACGAACCACACAGAGGCATGGACCAGCATCTGTTGCTTCAGGGTGCTTGGGGACCCTCTAGGGGCAATGCACAGGGGTCCAGTGGTTATATTTCTGTAGCCAAGGAAAGTCAATCCAGTGGGACTGGGTCTCTTTCTTTCCTTCCTTCCTTCCTTCCTTCCTTCCTTCCTTCCTTTCCTTCCTTCCTTCCTTCCTTTCCTTCCTTCCTTCCTTCCTTCCTTCCTTCCTTCCTTCCTTCCTCCTTCCTTCCTTCCTTTCCTCCATCCCTCCCTCCTTTCCCTCCTTCCTCTCTTTCTTTCTTTTTTTTTGAGACAGGGTCTCACTCTGGTTGCCCAGGTTGGAGTGCACTGGTGTGAACTTGGCTCACTGCAGCCTCGACACCTCTGGGGCCTGGTGTGTGATTCTCCCACCTTAGCCTCCTGAGTAGCTGGGATTACAGATGCGTGATACCACACCCAGCTAATTTTTGTATTTTTAGTAGAGACAGCGTTTCACTATATTGCCCAGGCTGGTCTCAAATTTCTGGACTCAAGTGATCCACCTGCCTCAGCCTCCCAGAGTGCCAAACTGGTATCACGGGCATAAGCCACTGTGCCAGACCGATGGGTCACTTTCAAATGAGGATTGAGAGAAGCAGACATTTGATGGCAAAGGGTGAGGTAAATGTTGGGCAGAGCTTATAGACAAGGGATCCTGGGGCTGCCCTACCAGTCAGCTATTTCCAGGAAACCAAGCAATGTGGTGCCCCCAGGATGGTGCTGTTTAACATGGGAGGGAAAAGGAGTGGGGAGGGGGGTTTGTAGACTAGGAAATCCCTCCCTGGGAGGAAGAGGTGATAATGACTAAGGATCAGGTTGAGCCCAGTGACTGCCATGGAGAAGGGACATTAGTGGACTGGCCACTGACAAGCCCTCTAAACTTACCGGAGGTCCGGGAGGCCCCTCTGGCCCCGACGGCCCAGGAACCTAAAAGCCAAAGGGGAGCCCTGTTACACTTGAAGTGGCCCTCCCTCCTGACAGGGCCTAGGGCCCAGCTGGAGACTGCAAAGCCAGAGGAGGACATAGTTGCCCACTGGAGGTCAGCTAGTGACTGCTCAGCACAATATCCCCCGAAAAAGGCTCAGAATAGGTCAAAAACTCATAGCAACCCAGTGACCTGCTCAATGTTGAAAAAAAATTTCCAGGTAATCTAAAGATCTATTCTTGATTTTTCTTGGAAGAAAAAAAGAAAGCAAAACACCAGAAGATCTAGCAGCACTAGGTTCTTGTTCATGCATGGCAACAATTGCCTGGAGTGGAATAAGAGTTTTCCCCTCTAGGTGGGGCATGACATCTTCAGTTTACTCCAGTCCCCACCACTCCCTATTGTCTTTGACCCAGAGCTCTTGCAGTCATTTTTTTGCATGCCTGGCCCTTGTAGACATTTGAGTTTGAGACCCTTGGCTTAGAGGAGCAGAGATTGGTTATCTGGAATGTGGGGAGACTGAGCTGTTCCTGAAGATTGCTCCTCAAGTCCCCAAGGTTTGTTACAGACAGGATGGGGACTGCTGGTCTCTGTTTCCCTTGACAGCAGATGCAGATTGTGGTAGAGGAGATTCTGACTGGACAGTGAAGATGGAGGAGCTCAGGGCTATCTCCTCTATGGAGGGTGGTGCCCATTGCAGCTTCTGTCTCTGATGAACACAGACATCCTTTTGTCCACAGGCAGCCATTGCTGGGTCCTTCTGAGCTGCTCACCCCGCCTCGGCTTCGGGGCTCTCCTCAGGTGCCTTGTCTTCCCACGGGTAGAATTCCCTGGAGCATGGCCAGGGGAGTGACTCCTGTGCCAGGCCACGACAGAGGGCACCCCTACACTGGGCAGAAAGGAGGTCCCTATTGTTTCCTGGACCTGTGGACTTTGTCGCTCCATCACAGTCTCCTTGCAGGGAACACAATCTTTGGAAACTCTGCTTTCTTAAAAAAAGTTTCTCATTTTTAATAAAAGTTTACCATTTTAATTCTTATTATAAATAAGTGGTTTATGTATCCTAATCACGGTATTGATTATACAAATATCTACATGTATTAACATTCATAGAACTGGACATATTCCTGAAGTAAATTTTGCCTGTGTGGAAATTTTAAAAATAATAAAAAGGTTTCAAAAATTGAAACACTTTCTTGATATATCAGATGTGCTTGAATATATGTATATACTTTTGATATTTATATATAATATGCATATAATTGTATATACATATATGTATATGCTTATGATTTCATATATGTATAAAATTCGGTTTTCTACTCTTTTTCACTTAATGTGAAACTGATTTTTCCATTTTTTATATGTTCCCCACCAGCTTCCTGATAATAGTGCTGTGCTATTCACTGGGCGTAGTGAAAATGAGTTGTTACATACTCAGGGCTTAGTGCAGTGCTTGGCACGAGGAAAGCACTCAGACGTGGTGACTATTATTACTATTAGTATTGTTACCATAAGTTATTTAATCCTTTCCTTCTTGATAGAAATTTAGGCTGTTTCCAATGTTTATTTTAAATACTTCCGGGAGGGACAGTGGGCGTATAACGCTTTTCCTGAATTAGGATCATTTCTTTAGGAGGCTCTCCATTTCGAAACAAGTACCATACACATTGTACAATCAGGTCTGTTTCACTACATTCAGATGGGGCTTGGCAAGGTGAACTCACCCTGATGGGGACTAAGAAGGCTTGGTGGTCTCTCCCATGGGTCTGAGGTGCTATTTGGGTTGCCCAGACTCTGCCACCAAACATCCTGTCTCTCACACATCCTTGATCTCTGTTGCTTTCCTGGTTTTCGCCCCTGAGTCTACAAATATGCCTGATTTTCCGCTGTCTTTTGAAAACCTTGCCTCCATCCTGACTAATTCTCACTCAGTTGTTCTGTCTTCTCCTCCTTTCACCACCTCACTTCTCAAAAAAATAATGCCTCTATCTGGAAAGCCTACCTCTGAAACTTTGTGGCAAACTCCTACAAAGCCATCAAGACTCTGCCCAAATAGCACGTCTTTCGGGATGCTTGCCTGATTCCCTAAGTTGCTCCCATGCTAGTGCCCATTATGGGGTACTGTGAACGGCAAAGGGACGGTTCTGTTTATTTTCTTCCTTTTTTTTTTGTTTTGTTTTTGTTTTGTTTTGAGGCAGAGTCTCACTCTGTTGCCCAGGCTGGAGTGCAGTGGTGCAATCCTGGCTCACTGCAACCTCTGCCTCCTGGGTTCAAGTGATTCTCCTGCCTCAGCCTCCCAAATAGCTGGGATTACAGGCACCTGCCACCACTCCTGGCTAATTTTGTATTTTTAGTAGAGATGGGGTTTCACCATGTTGGCCAGGCTGGTCTCGAACTCCTGACCTCAAGTGATTCGCCCGTCTCGGCCTCCCAAATTGCTAGGATTACAGGCATGAGCCACTGTGCCTGGCAAGTTCTGTTTACTTTCGTATCTCCAGACTCTAGCACCAGGACGGAAGCACGGGAGGTGCTCCGTGAAGGTTGCTGAGAGATGTGGTTTGAGAAGACTGGAGCAGTCCAGAGGCTCAGTGCCTGACCCATGGTGGTGCTCAGTAAACGTAAACATCAGGCAGTTGCAAGCTTCATTCTAAAGCATAGAAACACTGTGCATTCTGCAGAGACTGTCGTTTGATGGGTCTCTATCAGATTCTCTCTCATGTACCTCTGCTCCTGGATCGCCCTTCTCCCCGGCTTCTCCTTTCTCTCCCTGTGGGCACAGAACACCACTGCATGAATGCCAGCCCTTGGGAAAGGCTGGGACAGACGTACCCTCACATCCGTGACAAACTAGACTGGGACGCGACTAGTCTAGGGGTCAGCAAGGAACACGGTGGAGGATGTGGAGGTGTCAGCCTGCAGGACAGAAGACTGGGCAGGGACTGTCATCACTGTCTTGAAGAATCTGAGGCTCTAGTACAGGAAGGAGAGGCTGATACTCTCTATGGACTGTGCAGCGGACAGGCCTTAGGGTGACCTGTGACTTTTTTCTTAGCCATGGAGTAAGGCACATGGCAAAGGTGATGGAACCTCACTTCTATGATTATGTTGCAGATTATAACATACATGCCATACAGATGGTGACATATAACATATGTTAAGATTATGTTACAAATATGTTACATGAACACACAAACACACATGCACACAGCTCTGTCTTGCTAGCACTAGACACTAGGGAGACCCTACTGCTGGCCTTGGCCTTGAAGATGCCAGTGGCTATAATGTGAACTGTCTACTGTGCGGGGGTTGGGGAGGGCGGGGGCGCAGGTGGCAGGAACTGTAGGTGGCCTCTAGGAGCTGAGTTCTGTTCCAGCAAGGAACCGGATTCTGCCAATACCAGTGAGCTAGGAAGGGGATCCCTAGCTCCAGATGAGAATGCAGTTGGCTGACACATTAATTGCAGCTGCATGAGACCATGGGCAGGGGACCCAACGAGGATGTGCCTGAACTCCTGACCCACAGAAACTATGTGCCAATACATGTGTATTGTCTTAGGCCGCTACCTTTGTAGTGATCAGTTATGCAGCAACAGATAATAAATATGGCTCCAGAGGCTCTGAGGGGTCACCTGGGGGAGGCTGACGAGGGAGCTTCCACACCGTATACAGGAGTGCTCCCTCCATCCTGGGGCTGCCCCATGGCGCAGTGGACAGGTCTGGAGGCAGTGAGCTGCCTGCCTGTGCCAGCTGAGTGAGGAGTCCTGCACTGGGTCAGACTTGGGACTGGTTGACCTCTGAGGCTCTTTCCACTTCCCAGAGGAGAGTTCTGAGACCAAGCTTCTAGCACCTTCAAACTAGGTTGGTGCTTCTAGAGGCCGTCATACTGTGAGCCGAGGAAGTTGCAACTCCTGTTTACACTCAAATGCGGTAGCTGCTTGTTAAGAGGACCCCCTCTGCCTGCTCCCAGGCTGGGTAGGTAGGCTTGGGGTTAGGGCAGCCTCATCACAGTGCCAGGCGCCCGCTAGGCTGGTGGCCACAGGGAGGACCCTAGTCTGTGGCTGCCTGCAGACAACCTCGACACCCAGCCTTCTGGCCTCACTGTAAACCTCAGAAGCCCAGCTGGACTAGGCAATCCTGCCACTCCGGGTCTGCTCTGGCCACCAGGTTCTCCTTCTCTCCCCAGTTGGGCTGTCTAGACCCTACAAAATGACACCGATTTCTGTTAGTGGAGCTCAACGTGGTCTTGCTGAGTGTGACCAACTGTGGCATGCACAGGATGTGGCTCCCTTGCTTCAAGGGTAGGTGCCTAGGATGGCACCCATTTTACAGATGGAAACCCCTGAGACCCAGAGAAGGCTCCCAAGTCAAGTTGGCAGCCTAGTAGACTGGGTGAAGGCCCCGTTTCTGTACATGCAGCCTCTCCTGGGTATAGGGCTTCTGTACACTTTCCAAAGAGGCAACTCTAAACCATGACTTCATCACCTTCCCAGCAATCCAGTGAGGTATCTAGGGAAGACATTATTATTGCCATTTTAGAGATGAGGAGACGGAGGCTCTGCAAGGCTCAGTGGTTTTGCCAAGGATACAGCTGACAGAGCAGGACTCAGGTCTCCTGAGTCGGGAAATTGGCCTTCATAAAGTGAGTGACTTGAGGGGAAGCTGAGTGAATCCCCCACCCCTAAGTCCTGGCCCCAGGTTTCTAGCCCAGGCAGCAGCTGGCACCATGCAAAGTGCAAAGAAGCTCACATCATGCTTGGGAGTGGCGTATGCACGGAAGGGCAGCCAGCCCTGCCACTCACCGGCGAGCCTGCTTGTCCTGTCTCCCCTTTCTCTCCCTTTTCTCCTGGGCTCCCTGGGTGCCCGTTTTCTCCTTTCATTCCTGGAGGTCCATCCTTTCCTGGGGGGCCTTGGGGACCAGGAGGGCCCATGTCTCCTGGTTTACCGCGAGGTCCCTTTGGAAAATACCAACAACACTTCTTAGACACATTAAAGGAGAAAAAAGAAGAGAGGGAGAGAGAACAGAAAAGTCCAAAGGCCTTGGCTCGTTGGTGCTTGACTGGGGCAGGCAGAGAGAGCCCAGCCTGGGTCTGCCTGGCTCCTCCTGGGACTTGCAGGGTGGGTCCCTCTCCCTGCCCCTCCCCATCTCCCCTTGCCCACTGGGCTCACTCCAGGGCCAGTTCTAGCGCCATCCTGCCCCGCCTCCTGCCCCCAGGGCCAAGACTGTCTTCAGAGGTTTGATTGGAGGATGTCTGTTCATACCTTCTCCCCATCGTGTCCTGGAGGGCCTGGCAGTCCAATCTCCCCCTGTAGCCAGAACAACTAAAGGTGACTCTCAGGGCAGAGACCATAGCAGCCATCAGTTACACATTGCTTAGTGCACCCGGCATCCCTCTCCACACTTTCCCATAGAGTTTGCTCATTTAATTCTCACTGTGTTGCTGGGAGGTATGCACTTGCAGCCGCTCTTCTATAGACAAGACTCCAAAGCACAGAGTTGTGTGCCTGAGGCCCACAGTCAGTGAACTGGGGAGCCAGGATCCCAGTCTGGACACTCTGGCTCCATGTCCATGTTTTAGCCACAACCTCCCACTGCTACCTCTGAGAGCCCTAGGTGCCCTTAGCTCCCTTGCAGAAGGGTTCTTGCCTTCCTGTCTCCCCTGAGTGCAGAACCCCTGCCCTGGCTGCTCCACAGGGTGCTCCTTTCATCTTCACACAAGCCAAGCCCCTTCTTTGGGTCAGGTAGGGAGTTAAGGGAGGTGGCAAAAAGATGTAGGTCCTACCCAGAGGAAAGGGCAGGGAATTCTGCCTGACAGATCAGGGGAGGCGTCAAAGAGGAGGTGGTCTTTGAATTGGGCTTGAAAGATGAGAAGGGCTTTGAAAGAAAGGGAAGAGGGAAAGAGACTTGCAGGGGAGAGGACATCATGAGTGGGAGACAGAGGGGCAGACCTTCTGAGAAAAACACAGGTGGGTGGAGTGTAAAAGGAAAGCAAGGGCAGGGAGTGAGGTGGGAGGATTGGGGAGGGGCTCAAATGCAGAGGTCCCTGATGGGGTCCTCATTCCTGCTGTGGGTCTGGGTGGGGCAAAGGCAGGAGTGTGTCTAGACCCAGACCCCACCGCATCAGAAAGCTCTGTGAATTACAGGAGCCCAAGCAGATGGCAAGGGGAGGACAGAAGAGCAACAGCGGCTGGGAGGTGGGTGGGTGGGGCCCTTGGTGCTTTGGAGCAGCAGGAGGGTATGGCGGTGGTGCTGGGAAGATGAGAGGGTCACAGGAGGAGGGGAAGCCCTGGGGTCGCTGCCCTTGCAAGGTCTTCACCCCCTTTGTCAAGACAAGATTTACCTTCTGGCCTGGAATCCCTGGAGCTCCAGGTGGGCCAATTTGCCCAGGAAGACCAGGAGGCCCCTAGGAAAGAAAGGAAAGACACATGGAAGAACTGTCCCACTGAGGAGGGTAGCCTGTCTCCCGAGGGCTGTATGTGGAGGCTGGCTTGTAGAGATAAGTTGTTTTCAAACCTTTCTCCAGTGATAGAAGCACATTTTTTTGCAAAGAAAATAACATGGGGAACCCAAAATGCAAAACATATAAGCACCAAGTGTGACTGGGTTGAAGCGGAGGTGGGGTTTGGAGAGCCACGTCCAATACCCTCTCCTCCTTCTCTCTAGGGCACCTCTGGCGACCCTTTGGGTACCAAGAAGCTAAGTCTGACCTTCCCCAATAATGACTTAAAAACGTCTCCAGGAAACAACCCAAATGCCCATCAACAGGGGAATGCATAGTACGTCCATACAATGAAATACTACTCAGCAGGGAAAAAGAACCAAGTGCTGATGGCGAGAGTGCATCTCAAACACATTCTGCTGAGCAAAAGCAGCCAGACACACATGCTGTGTGATTCCATTTACATGAAACTCTAGAAGAGGCAAAAGACACATCTAATCTACAGTGACAGAAGTGACAGCAGAGCAGTGGCGGCCTGGGGCTGGGAGTGACTCCCAAGGTACATGAAGAAATTTTCTAGAGTGATTGGGTGGTAGATACCTGGGTATATGTACTTATCAAAACTCATCAAACTCTACACCTAAAATGAGTACCTTTTATATGTGTTAAGTTACACTTCAAGGTTGATTTTAAAAGAAAAAAAATGTTTGTGGAAAAGTCTTATTTCCAATAGCTATTTCACATTATTATTATTATTATTATTATTAAGATGGAGTCTCACTCTGTCACCCAGGCTGGAGTGCAGGGGTGCCATCTCGACTCACTGCAACCTCCACCTCCCGGGTTCATGGGATTCTTGTGCCTCAGCCTCCTGAGTAGCTGGGATTATAGGCACCTGCCACCATGCCTGGCTAATTTTTGTATTTTTAGTAAAGACAGGGTTTCACCATCTTGGTCAGGCTGGTCTTGAACTCCTGACCTCAAGTGATCTGCCCACCTCAGCATCCCAAAGTGCTGGGATTACAGGCATAAGCCACTGTGCCCTGCCAAATAATATATGTTAATGTCTCCAAATGAAACTCATTGATTCCAGAACCATGTCATTGATAGCAATTTCTGGGATTGGGACGTCACAGAAGTGGTGTTTGATTTTGAGTTTGTGCCATCCCTAAGTGTGTTCTGTGGCTCATAGCCATGAAAAAATATTAGGTGAATTGAAATTTCAGTAGTCAGAGAACCACATGATTTCTCCTCCCGTCCTCTACCTTAGAAGTTAAACTTGGTGGTAGTCATTTTAACTACAAATATTTACCAACAGCCTGTCACCAGTAGGCACCTGTACAAAACCCAGGCTTGAAATTCCCTGGTTTTCCAAGTGCAGATAATGAAACTGATTTCTAGGAAAGGGGGGTTGCTACTAGTTTTTCAGGGTAATGGATTTAATTAGCTAAAAGTTGGGGAAAAAGAGAAACATTAGAAACATCCTCCTCAGTACTGCTATTTCCTTGACATAGCTGTAAATAGAATCCAGCATTTGTACTGTCACCAGAGAGCACAGCTGTATTGGTGAAGAGCCTCTACATGGAGGACAGCCATGACCCAGGGCATGGGCAACTCTCGAGGCCCACCTACCAGTCCTGACCCATCACCTCCAGCTCAGATCATCGTCTGCCCCAGCCCTGTTGGGTCAACCCTAATCTGCAGCCCAGGGCCTTCTTTCTGGAGGGGAGAAATCAAGTCCTTGCTTCCAGGCTGCCGTCCCCAGCCCCCAGCCCAGTGCCCAAGGAAAGCCAGGAGGAGCAAGACTTACCATCAAGGCCAGTGTCCGGATCTCCTAAAAAACCAACACCAGGCAATCAGTTGAAGAGCAAACCAAGAGCCAACTGGAAGGTTCTCACTGCACAGTCATGGAAACAGGGGATCTGGGCCCCTCAAAGGAGCATGGGTGGAGGGGGACCCTCGCAGGTGAGCTCCATGGTCCCCAGACTCACACCACCTCCACCCCCACCTCTCGATGAGAGGTGCAATCACTGGACAGAGAATATGCAGCATCTCCTAAGCATGATTATACTCTAAGGCTGTCCTACAATGGACTCAGGCACACCCTGAATGGACTGCAACCTCTACTTCACTTTACTGAAAGGGAAGGAAGCACCATCTCTTATTCTTTCTAGTCACCATCTGAGGACCCACCCTTGTTCTTTCCTCTTCTCCCAGGACCCAGATTTCAAAGTTGCCACGCACCTCCCTTTAAATAGGCACAGGATAGCAAAATATGGAACCACTCAAAAAACAGATCAGAGAGATGACTTTTGGCTTTAAAAGAGGATTTTACACCTTGTAAATGGAGTCACACATGGACACAGACTCCTTTGAAGAAGTGGTTCTTGAGCAGGGGTAATTTCTTCCCCCAAGGGATAATTGGTCATGTCTGGAGACATAGTTTGGTTATCACAGCTAAGGCTGGGGTGCTACTGGCATCTAGCAGGTAGAGACTGGGGACGCTGTTGCACATCCTACAACACACAGGACCGCCTCTCCCCCCACCACAAAGATTCTCCAGCCCCAAATGTCAACAGTGCCAAGGCCGAGAAACCCTGCTTTAAAGGGTGGGGAGTGGGAGCTCATGAACTTGAAACAGGATTAAACTGACATGAAAGGAGATGCGTTCCAGGAAGATTTTCTGCTGTGTGAAAGGGGGTTATGCATACGTTAAAGAAATGGGGCCCCAGTACCCTGGATGGGCCATACCTTGTGGGGTGCCAGGATAATTCCACTGTGGCACTCAGGGGCCCAGAGGCAGGATAACTGGCCAGCTGGGCCCAGACAGACAACCCGGCCACCTGGATGCCAGTAATGGGGCCATTTGCCAGGAGGCTACACAGCGGGAGGTCGAAGGAGAGAAAGTGAGGAAGCAGCTCTCCTGGAAGCGCTGCCTGAGGGCCTGAGGGCAGGGCCCCTACTCAGCTGTGTGGAAGGGCCCCCTGATCAGGGCATGGTGCAGAGCCCTGAGGTCCGTGAGGATCCTGGCCTCTGGGCTGGACCCTGCTCACCTGGAGAGCCTCATTGATGTTTCCATTGTAATCCACCATCTCTCCTTTCCCTGGTTCTCCCTTGGAGCCCTAGAAGGCAAATGAGATCTCAACCCAGGGCCTGGACCAGGAGGGCCTGGACCAGGAGGGCCTGGAGAGCGACAGTGGCCTGCTCTCTATCCGCCCACACTGGTTGCATCTGGCTGCACACACGTGGACCCAGAACAGCCAGCGGGGCCCTGGGGATTCCGAACACTCTCAGAGGATGCTCGGGGATTGCAGAACAAATGGAGGACTCCATGTGAGAAGTCTGGGCTAGGCCGAACTGGGAAGGTTGGGTCCACCTGTCCTGCCAGTCAGACCTCCCACCTGAGGGCCGGAATGCTCTTCCCCTCCTTCCCTGTCAAGACCCCAAGGTCAAGCCTGTGAAAGGAAGATAAAAACTTGGGACCCCAGTTCACTTGGCCAAAAGAAAAAAAAAGTTAAGCTGAAAGCTGAGTCATGCAAGAAGCTGCCTTTCCTTTTATTCCTAAGCAGAGAGCTACAGATAAAAGGTTCAATATCCCCACAGGTAGCTGCTCCATGTTCACCTTAGCTTATGTAAAGTGCCGATTTACTGAGCGTGAGACTAATACATAATCAACTATTCTGCTACTTGCTCCTTTTTCCTTGCAATGTGTGAATTACCATACCCTTCCTCTTTCCCCTCCAGCCTGCTTTTCCCCTTTAAATATCAAAGCCCTCAAAATCATCTTTGGCAAAAGGCACAGACCTGTCTCTTGGGCATATGCCCTTAACTTTGGCAAAATAAACTTCTAAATATTAATTGAGACCTGTCTCAGATGCTTTTTGATTTACCAGCTGCTTCACACTGTGACTCCAGGCGAGAGAGGCACGTACCTTGGGGCCAGCTGGTCCCTGTTCTCCAGCTGCTCCAGGCTCCCCCTGTTGCATGACAAAATTGGAGCGAAGTGGGGATGAAGTTGGTACAGAGAGCCTGATGTCCCTAGATGGGCCATGTAATAAGGGCCAGGAGGCTCCTCTTAGTTCTTAGTTCATAGAAGTGCAGGTTCCGCCCCTTCAGGAAACATCCAGGGAGCACCCACCCACACTCCTCTGTCCCTCTGAGTCCCTCTGGGACTCGGTTCTGAGTTCTGGGTCTGAGTTCCTCCCACTTCAGACTCAGTGGCATTCTTTCTGTTCTGTGTTCATTGTTAGTGACTCCCCTTTGTCTCTCTCGCACCTGTTCCCCAGTCCCCTGAGTCAGTTGCCTCCATGGGAACAGGGACATTTGCTTCTCTTTAATTCTATTCTGCTCAGGTATCCAGGGCTCAGCAACTTTTTGCCAATTATCTGGGTGTCAGTTGCCATCGAGAGCCCAAACGGTTCTTTTGCTGCCCACTCTACTCGTGAAAGACCCAGAATGCCGAGTGAAACGTGGAGGGCCAGGAGGGTCTCAGGAGGACATGGGTGTATGAGCTTCCAGAGTGGGCAGGTAGAAGGATTTGTTCCTGTTGCAAACAGGACAGAGCCATGGGGAATAGATGAAAAAGCGGTGTAACTTGTGAAAAACCAAGCGCAGTTTCAATTTTTCTGGGATAATGAAAGACAATTGAAAAAACCAAGATAGAAAGTAAAAATAAAGGAAACAAGAACCCTTTGGTGTGACTCCTGATGACCCTGCTCATGGGACGTGGAGCCACTGCTGCCTCTGGGTAACCCGCTGTCTTTCTCCTCCACTGCCACAGCACTTTAGCCGCTGTGAACTCATGAGGGATGCAGCAGCCTTTCATAGGGAGTAGCTGGAGAGAAGCAAGAGCCCCTCATTTACCAGTGGCTTGGGAAGCTCTGTGTCACTCCCTGGTCAAGCGTCCCATCCCTAGACTGGCTTTTGCATGACTGCTGTCTCAGTGGATGGCTCTCTAAAGCCCAAGCTAAACAGGAAATAGGGAAGCCAGGGGTCATGGCCAGTCAGCCTTGGGCCCTGAGGGATACCCTGAGGGCCGGCTGGGACGATTCTTGACCTCCCAAGCTGACCCTCATCTTGCAGCTCTGGGATGTGAGGGTCTCTGTACCTTGTCTCCTTGCCGCCCTGGGGGGCCGACCTGGCCATCGACACCCGCTTCTCCCTGGGGAAGAGGAGAGAGTTGGGATGAGGGCATGCTGGGCACCTGGACAGCTGCTTCTGGGGGAAAAGATGGTCTTGCCACTCATGCCCTGGGTGTTGCCTTTGGGCCTCTCTTTCCCCGATGGCTTCAGCACCTCACACTGTTCCACCTCCCTGACTCCTACCCACCCTTGGGCCCAGCCCGGGTCTTACTTCCTCTGGAAGCCCATCCCTGCTTTCCTCCCCTGCATTCTGTACCCTTTACTGGTATCCACTCTGCCCTGCCAGGCCCTCCTAGGCCCACGCAGAGCCCAGCCCGTGGCAGGTGGATGTGGGTGGAATGAATGAGTGTATTGCCCCAGGTCATGTAGAGTAATTCACGCTTTCCTTCTGAGCTAAGAAAGAGACCCCCTTCATTTCTCAGTGCTGCTAAAGTAAACCAAGCAACACAGGAGGCATCTGTTTTGGGAAACCCAAATCTTACCATTGCACTTTTCAAGCAGCAAAAGGAAAGTGAGGGCAGTTTCCATTTGCAGCTGCCTCCACTGCTGCCACCTACCAGATGTGCTGGTACCAGGTGGGGCCCAGCTGATAGTTGACCTGCAACCTACTCAGAGCCAAGGTGGGGGGCCTCTTGGCTGTCCTAAGGCCCTGAAGCCATTGGTCCCTCGCTCAGTTACAGCATAGCCATTGAGGTCCTGCAGCCATTGCGCCCTGACTCAGTTATATCAGAGTCATCTGAGTCACTGGGACTATCCATCTGCACCAGGGAAGACATCTCCTCTGAAAAGTCCAACTGTTATCTGCTTGGAAGCAGGAGCTGGGTCCAAATGACCTTTTTGGAATCCATGGGGAAAACCACACATCTGGAGCAGGGGAAGGCTCGAGAAGGCGGGATGTCCGGGATGTAGAGTTCCTGAGAACAGGCTGAAGACAAAGTCCCCAGGTAAACGCCTCCCCGACACTGATTCCAGGGAACACTCACCTTTGGCCCTGGGGGTCCAGGGAGCCCTGGAGGGCCAGGTTCCCCTCTGCCTCCTCCAATGGAGTTGCCAGCATCGCCTTTCTCTCCCTGAGGGTGGAAGGTGGAGTTAGCGTCCCTGGTGTGGAGGAAGGTCTAGGCTGAGCACTGGAGGGACACTATGGACTGTGGGCCCCAGGATGTCTGGGGACCGACCAGGGGCCTTCAGAACCCCAGACTGGTCTGATCCAGCCATGGGATTTGAAGAGAGATTGGAAGTGTGTATTGAAGGGCAACAGGTTTAGAGCTGACACAAGGGACCCTTCGAAACTGGGTCTGGAGCAGTGTTTCTCAAAGTGTATTCCACGGAACACTGCTCAGTGGGTTGAGAATATTCAAAATGGGGAATAACATTGTTATTGGTGGCCAAACTATGTTAAGCAATGCAGCATTAAATAAGGCTTTGCAGACCCCGTCACTGCAGGGTGCTCCAGCCTCTAACAGGCTGAGGAGCACTGTGACTCTCCAGGAGCCCATCTGATTACGCACACCTCCCCTAACTTATTTTGGCCTCATCTTTTTTTTTTTTTTTTTTTTAATTTTTAAATTAAATATCTTACAGAGCTCATGAACTGTGGGATGCATTTGCAGAGCTGGTACAAATAAATCTGACCAGGTCATCGCTACCGAATTCTTTACATTTAGACATTTTATTTTTGCCAATCAGAGCCTGCCTATGGCCCCTCTCCCCCAACAAACAGAATCTGTCTGTGTTCCAGTTGCCTTTCCTGCAGTCTGGGAGACAGACACATCCAATGCTGGGGCCCGTGTGGATGTGCAGGGCTGGGTATGGGATGTGGGTGACGAAGGACCTGAACCCTCATTCAGAGTAACACCTACCTTCTGCCCCAGGAGGCCAGGAAGCCCAGGGGAGCCTTCAGCCCCCTTCTCACCCTGCAGGGAGATGCAGACAGTGGGGGGTTAGGAACTGTCTCTGCAGCAGGTTTGGGAAGCCACCAGCCCCACACTTAGGGACTTGCCTTCCCTTGCTCCTGCCTCCCTGCTTCTGCCCCGCGCTGGCTTTCCAAAGGGCTCCACTTCCTCCTGGCCCCCATCCCGGCTGGCTACTTCCATGGGCCACTTCGCATTGGTGACACCTGCATGACTGCTTTCCTTATTCCCATGTGACCTGGGCCCTTGTCATTCATGCTGGGGAGAAGTCACACGGGCCACAGATCATAACAAAGGCCAGAAGTGTCTAGTCTATCCTGGGGGTCTCCTGGGAGAGGTGAGCAGTTGAGAACGCCAGTGGTTGGGCAAGCAATTCCTTTTCACCACTCTGCTCTTCTTCAGATTCTTAATGCTTAGCAACTAAGGGCCCCTAGTCTTTTCTGGCACCCCCCTTTCTGTCTCTAGCTATAACCAGCTCATCTTACGTGGACATAGGGTCATCGCAAATGTAATGAGTTAGGATGAGGTCCCACTGGAGTAGGGTGAGCCCCTATCCAATGTGCTGATGTCCTTATAAAAGGGAGAAATTTGGGCACAGACATGCACATAGGGAAATGCCACGTGGAGATGGAGGCAGAGATTGGGGTGATGCATATATAAGCCAAGGAATGCCAAAGATTGCCAGCAAGCACCAGAAGCCGGGAGACAGGCCTGGAGCAGATTTTCCCCCTTGGCCCTCAGATGGAACCCGCCCTGCTAACACCTTGCTTTTGGACTTCCAGCTTCCAGAACTGTGGGACAATGAATTTCTTCTGCTCAAGCCACCCAGCCTGTAGTACTTTGTTACCACAGCCCCAGCAAAATAATACACTTACCTACTCAACTTCTTCCAGTACAGAAGAACTCATTTTTCCCCCATGCCATGAATCATAGAGCCCCTTAGAGATACTGAACCCCATTCTCATTTCACAGATTTGGCGGGGGAAGCCCCAGGAGGTTACGTGACTGGTGGCCAACCCCTTACTGAGTCAGCGGCAGAGGCGGGTTGAGCCCCTGTCTCCCAGTTGCTCTGCCTTCCGGGACACAAAGGCTTCACAGAGCAGCTGTCTTGGTCAGCTCAGGCGGCTATAACAAAGTCTGGGTGGCTTTGACAGCAGAAATGTATCTTCTTACAGTTCTGGAAGCTGGAAGTCTGAGATCAGGGTGCTGGTATGGCCAGGTTCTGGTGAGAGCCCTCTTCCTGCCTTGAAGATGATGGCCTTCTTGCCTTGTTCTCACAAGGCAGAGAGGGAGAAAGGTCTCTCAAAGCTCTCTCTCTCTCTTCCCTTTCTTCTAGGGTCACCAATCCTATTGGATTAGGGCCTCAACCTTATGGTCTTATTTAACCTTACTGACCTCCCCAAGGCCAAGGCCCTATCTAAATACAGCCACACTGGAGGTGAGGGCTTCAACATATGCGTCTGGGAGGGACATATTCAGTGCATAGCAGTGTCCAGTATCAGGTGAGCTTCCAAGAGCACCCCACCAGCAGGGCTGGGGTATCAGGTCAGCACAAGAAGCTTTGCTACCCATGGCCCTGGGGAGAGGCAGTTCTCATGTGTAATAATGTGAGCTGAGGGCTCTGGGCTTATAATTTGGTCAGATGTCTCAATGAACATTCATTCCAGCTGGAGTCACAAAAAGTGCCACACCAAGTCTTTGGGTGTCTTCTCCTTGGCACCTGCCCCGGGGTAGCTGCTGAACGGTAAAGTGTCCTGAGGCTGGCCGAGAGGGGTTGTGGAGGGCCAGGCAGAGGCCCTGGCAGTGGGAGGGAGTCCCCGCTGCCCTGTCTTGCCTGGGCTGCTCCTGCAGATGTGCTTAGTCTGGGCATCCTTCAGAAGCAGGCCAGGTGGAAAAGGAAAGGATGTGGGTCCTGACCTATGGAGATCCTCGGGGAGCAGAGGTGGAGGGAGGCAGGTTCCTCCTTCTGCTGGGCTTTCTGCTGGGTAATCAAGGCTGCCCAGGAGAGTGGGTGTGCTCTTGAGGTGGGTTTCTGAAGCTTGGCCAGGCCATCCTGCCACTCCCCTCATCTTGGGACACATGCACCAAGAGCACGCTGCAGGCGACACACCAGCCACGGAGGAAGGCCAAGGAGTAGGGGACTGGTGAGGCCAGGACGAGGGGGCACACACTCAAATACACGATATCCTACCCTCTGCCCCCTCTTTCCCAGCAAACCTGGGGACCCCGGCTTCCCTTCTGCGCCTGGATCTCCCTTTGGGGTAAGAAGAGAAAGTCACTGATAAGAAGATGGGGCAGGGAGTGAGGGGTAGGATGGGCAGTGATCATTGACCAGCATTTCCAGAATACTTGTCCCTTAAGCTCTTCCTCTTTAAAAAAGGGTGTTCTGGTCAAAAAAGTTTTGAAAATGCCACATAAGATATTTCCTTTTGAGAGCTCCTCAATGCACATTATCCAATTAAAGGTTCTGAGAAGGTCTGCAGCAAAGAAACCCGTGTAACATTTCTAACCTAGTATTTCTCAGCCTTTTTTTCTTGTCACATCTCTTATTGTCATACAAGAGGGAAAGAGAACCCTGTAGGTGCAGGGGACAATAGTCACTGCCTGCCGCCGCTGGCATGCCTGCAGGCCAGGACCCAGGGAGGGGGAGGCATTTGCAGTGTGCTCCTGACCAGTGGGCCCTTCTCTGCTCAGCCAGGTCCCCAGCCCCAGGCCAGCCTCAGGGGGACCAAGAGCAAAACAGCAGCAGCCCCTCCCACCTCTGCCCATGACCAGTGCTCTGTGCAGCCCAGAACATTCTCTCTGTATCAGTACCTTGGTTCCTGGGATCCCTGGCTCACCCTGTGTGGAAAAAGAGAAACAAATGTGAGACACAGAAAAAGCAGAAACAAATGAGCAAGGCACCTGTTGGTGGAGGTGGGGTGGGGGGCAGTCGGGGTGGGATTAGTGAAACATCTGGCCAGCCCCGGCTCTTCTGTTCAGGCATCAGGTCCCAGGCCAAAGGAGGCCTATCAGGCTACTGACCCTTAGAAGGTTCTATTCTTCCCCAGGTGAGGGGTGTGGCAGGTGGGAGCATAAGTGAGGCAGCCCAGGAGGAAGGAGAGGAAGGAATGGGCATTTGGTTTGGACATGGTGCCCCCTGTAAGTGCACCTGCTGTGAAGATTGAATTTGAGCACTTGTTTTTCCAGGCTATCCTCACATCTGCCTGCCAACCAAATGGGCAGTTAGGGTAGGGGTTCTGGAGATGAACTCCTGCTCTCTCTGAAGCTTTGGAAGCATATAGCTACTGAATTACAGAGCATAAAGGAAAGATCTGGGCTGCCTTCCTGCTGCCTTTGTGCCTTGGCAGGCTAGTGAGTTGAGGCAGGAAACCTTTGCTATTTACTTGCAAGGCTTAGTTACACATCTGTGGCTCAAGGTTATGCACCTGGCACAAATGTCACTTTGAGAAAAATGTTTCCAAATCCTGTATGCCCCCTCGTTGGTCTGCCAGCCACCCCACTGAGCCTAAGATTCCCAGCTCTGCCTGCTCACATCTCTCCCACCCTGTCCCTGATGTGTTGGTTGCAAAAGTCCACTGACCTTCATTCCAGCCACGGCAATTCCAGGAGTGCCCTGGCAAAGAGAGAAAAAAAGGTCCGAAGACATTCTGCAGTGAGGGGGCAGCAGCGGGGGCGGGGAGGGGGGCGCGGTGCAGTGGACAGCCTCCCCATGGTGCGATGGGAAGGAGGACCGCTCACTCCTCCCAACCCCGCAACCACCAACCCCGCCTGGGAGGTGGGGGCGCTGAGCTGACGCCATGAGAATGGGCCCTGAGGAAGGGGCTTTGTGCAGCTTAGTCTGTAAGGCTCCCTGGGCTTCCCAACCACCTGTGTGGCTCCTGGCCTCTCCTGGGAGGCACAGTGGGGACTGTGGGGCACTAGATGGGGCTGGGAGGGGGTCCCTGGGGTGGAAGGGGAAGTTTCGTTGGAATATGAAAGGAGGAGGAGATGGGACAGGAGAGGGCAGGAGGATGGAAAGCCACGGGAGAGGGGGGCAGCGTAGATGACAAAGTAAAGGGGCTGATTTCACCAGGACAGTCGTCCCCAGTGTCTGATTGACATGACCCTCACAGTCAGCTCTGCGCATCTCTGCCCTCACAGACTGGGGAGTGGCTGGAGTGAACCCTGTTTTCGTATCAGCCCAAGGCCACCTACTTTGAGAGATATATGACGCCCAAAGTGCACCTTAGCAAATCTCAAGCGGAGGTGATTTTTGGGGGTCCCTACCCTCCACTTGGGTCTTAGGACTGCAGTGGAGCTAGGGGTACCTGAAATGGCTTTTTATGACCCAGAGATGCCCAGGAGGAGGCTGCCCACATCAGGGGGCACTGATGAGAGACCACAGTGCTGCAGCTGGGAGAGCCAGGGCAGGCGGAAGGAGGCCCAAAGAACTGGGACTCCAGAGTGTCCCTGGAGCTGGAGAGAGAGGGAAGGGCGCTGGGGGAGGGGTCTTGGGGCTGCCTGGGATGTGGGGAAGGGGGAGGTACCTTGGCTCCATGCTTGCCGGGCATCCCTGGCATGCCCCGTTCTCCCTGGAGGAAGAAATGAGAAAGCATGAGGAGAGGACCAGACTTGGGGCCTGTCAGCCTGCAAAGACATTGGTGAGAATGGCTTGTCTGGAGGCTGGGAGCTCTGAGGACCCTGCTGGTGGCAGCTGTGTGGCCCCTGCCCTCAGCTATGTGAACTTGCAGGAGGGCCCAAGTTACAGGTCACAGAGCAGGAAAGGCCGCCAGAGAGAGAGGCTCACTTAGTGGAATGCAAGTTCAGCAAGGGAAGTGACTGGCCCAAGATCTACCTACCACTCCGTGGTTGAGCTGTACCTGGAACTTGGGCTGTGGGATGGGACCAGGGGCAGGAGCCACCCATTGGCCGCTTACCTACTGCACACCTTCCCTCCTGTCCCTGCCTGGGACTTCTTGCCTCGTTTTCACTCCAGCAACTTTGCTAGGATGGTACCTTCTGGCTGAGCCAGACGGGAGCTCTCTTCTCTTTTCATCTGGGGTTCCTTTCCCTTCCAAGTCCTCTGGGTCTAACTCTTCCCAAGGACATGTGTCCCTGCCCATTTATCTGCACCCCATTTCTGACCCTACCTGTCTGGAGGCACAGGTAGGGTCACCTGTCCATTATTGCTTCTCTGGGAGAGCATAGGGCTGCTCTACCATCTTGGCACTACCCTACCTTTATGTTCAACATCTTTACTTCCCCAGGAAAATGCCAAATCTGTGAGAGTAGGGTGAGATCACGATGAAGGACACACAAGGAGGTGGAGTTGGAGATGACAGCCAGGGACAAATGGGAGGCCAAGAGCAGGTAAGTCAGGACTATCATTGGCTACATCAGGGGATGGGGGGAGGGCAGTGACTGGTTCCAGGAGTTGAATCCTATGTAGTGCCTGAGCATGAAGCCCCAGCTGGGGCCCGGGATGGTGTCCAGCAACAGGTGACCGCGGCCAGCCTGCTGCCACTTCCTCCATCTGAAGGCCAGCACTGTGGACGGGCAACACAGAGTGTGACAATCCTGCTCCCGGCCCAGCTGCCCCATTGGGTGTGACTGCTGTGGCTGCCAGGCCAGGCTGCAGTTCCCGTAGACTTAAAGGCAGAGGGGATCTGGTGTTCCCTGGCTTCCTTCTCAGCTGTCCACACTCTCCCTTTCCTGCCATCTTACAGGAGGTCCTGGTCCCTCCTTCTCCTTACCAAGGCTACAGTACTTCCACCCTCTTCCTCGGTGATGGGTCTTCCATGCAAGTGTCCAGTTAAGCTCCCTAACACACAGGCTGGATAGCGAGACCCCTGCCTTAAAACATCCCTGGCCCGCGGTTGACAGTAGGAAAAGGACCAGGTTCCTGAGCATGACGTTTTGATCCCCGCTTCCTTCCTAGCCTCATCACCTGATATCACGGGGTGCATCAACTAGTTTCTGGGTCCCTGAATACACCACCCATTTCCACAGTTGTATCTTTCTGCCATTTCTTCAACTGAAAACCCCTGCATCGTTTGGATTCTTGGTCGATAGAGCAGCCAGTGCTTGAGCACCCTGGGTTGCGCTGCCCTCGCACACTGACTCCTGCACCCCTAGGGGCCACAGACCCGAGGGCCTCTGAGTAGAGAGAGGCTCTGCCCTGTTTTCAGCCTGAAGAGGCTGTTTGATGGGAGTGGGGCCCTTTTATCTCTTCTATGAAGCTTTTCGCTATCCCCTATTACGCAGCGCGGCATCCTCAATGCGGCAGGGACCACTTAGCGTTTGTAATCGGCACACACAAATTTATGTCTGCCTGAGATGGCTTCACTTTTATCCTCTTTGGTCCAAGTCTCTAAATTCTACAAAAGGCCTAGAATCTTTAGTTCCCAATGCCAGAGCCCGCACTCAGCATGACTCCACCTGAACCACACGTGGGATGGCAGAGCTAAACTCAGGAAGTTACCACAGCTGAAAATCCAGAGCCCAAGGCCTGCCCTAGACATTAACTTCCTTCTTGTGGGACTGAGAGAGAAGGGCACAGCCACTTACTGCAGCTGCCATGTGTCTGCCCTGGACTGGAAAGCTTTACAACCTTCCTCTATTCCATCTCCAACAATCCCTTCCAATGTGGGAGTGGACATTATTCTCGTTTCACAGGTAAGCTAATCGCGGCTCAGAGGCCCGGTAAGATTGCCAAGGTCGTGCAGCCTAGGGCTTTGGATAGTTTGTTGTCCGTATGCCAAGGTGCTCACTTCTCTTGGCCAACCCAAATATCAGATGGACTGATGTTCTGTCTGCTTCCATCAAACAGCCTTAAAGCAGAGCAGAGCCCGTCTTTGCTTGGGGAAGGGGGGTCCTTAGGTCTGTGGCCCATCGGAGTTCAGGGGTCGGTGTGTGGGGGCAGCTCAGCGTAGGATGCCCAGAAAAGCTCACTGCCTGTGTGCACAGCCGCTCTGTGGCCGGCAGAGGGCGCGACAGCACCTCATCTGAAGTCTGGCTACTCCGGCCACAGCGGTCTCCAAGCCCTCTCAGTAGTACCAGCTGAGGGCTCCTGTCATTCTTTTCTCTGGAGGGCCCCCTGCTAACATTCTGAATGATCAAACCAGTTTGGCTCAGTACAGAGGCCTCCACAGTCCTCTGGTGTGGGTGCAGGTGGGAGGTCAGCTTGGGAGTCCTTGTCTATTCCGAGGCCCCCATCATCCCTCTCTTCCACTTTCTCTATCTTTTCTCTTGCTTTTCCCCCAATGCCCCTGCCCTCTTCTTCCCACCTCCAATTCGGGGAGCTGGGCTGGGAGTGCAGGTGACCACGGATAAGCCACTTTATCCCACTGGTCCAGGGTTCTTGGTTGCAAAGTGAGGTTAGATCAGATACCTCCTATCCACTGGTGCTCCTGTCTCTTCCCACCCACCCCAGCCCTGTCTCTACTCCCCTGCACGCCCTTTGGAAGGAGAGAGGCCAAAGCTGGAGAGGTGCCATTTGGCTTGGTTGGTAGCTCCAGAAAAAGGATCTGTGGGGTGGGAAGGGACTCTTAGCTTTGGTTAAAAATGCAGCTCTAGGAGCAGTCTCAGTGGGTCTCTGCTCTCCCCTCCTCCTACCCACAGGGGTGCTCCTGCAGGGAGGAGGTGGTGTCTGCTTCAAGCTTGTCTCTGGGCTTCTGTCTCCAATCCCAGAAGAAACTGTGCAGAGCAAAACCCCGGAGCGTGAGAGTCTCCAGGCTAATTGGGGTTGTCCTTAGCCCCTGTTGATGTGAGTGTGTAAAGACACAATCAGGCACTCAGGGGAAATCAGAGCCCCAGGAGCCTCCTCAGGAGGCAGCCCTCCTTGTTAGGGTGGCTGACCTTCGCCCCTTCCCTCCTCTCTGGGTCAATTCTCTTAATTCGGCAAATGACCCAGGCTTCCTTGATCCCCATCTCAGGGCCTCCGTCCCTCCCACCCCCTTGCTTGGCAGGAAGCAGGGGCGCCCCCACTGGCCTCCCCCAGCTGACCTCGCTCTGCTGCTCACTCCACTCTCATTAGGCTCACTCCCCAGGGCTTGTCTCTAGGGACCTGCCCCTGCCTGACCTCTGAATTGGGGAACGGGGCTTCTCCTAAAGCCAAAAACATTGGTTCCTGGATGATGGTGAGGTGAGAGTCATTATCAAGGACTCCAGCGTCGCTGTGGCCGGGGCCCATGTGCAGGAGGCAGGAGGCAGGGGGAGGGAGTGGGGGTGGTTATTGCCCGAGGAGGACAATGGCTCACCTCTGTTCAGAGGGCTGTTCCTTGGGGTATGTCTTTGTGCGAGCCTGTCTAGGGGCTCCTTCTTTTCTAATTCCCCTCCTAGGTTTTCCTGTTTAAAAAATGTCTTAGTAACTGTGCTCAGTTTCCATCCACTTACTCATCACTGTCTTGGTTTTTGGAGGGCCTGGCTCACTCAGTCCAGCAAAGCCCACAGGCCTCGATTCACCTCCTTTACCTCTGCCTCCTCTTGTCTCCCCAGAAGGGACTCAGAGGTTCCTCTGGGGGCTCTCAGCTGCCTTACTTGGGCTGGAGAAGTGGGTGCTCTGAGCCTTACAAAAGGTCTCGGCCATGTGCATAGTGTGATGGCAGAAGCTGTGACTCCTGGGCCAACATCCAGCCACCCCACTGCAAAGCTGGCTTTTTAACCTCAGTGCCAAGAACCAATGCAGGAAGGGGTAGATTGTAGTCACTGTGCCTGAGAAGGCTCTAGGGGAGCACAAGTGGGTAGAGAGGCATTTGCTTTGAATGACCTTGAAGGCCTGTCCCATCCCTGATTTTGAGGCTGCCACTCAGACTCCCCAGCTGGGCCCTGCCCCTGAGCACCACACAGCATTGATAGGTCCTCTGTTCTGGTCCCAGATTCCAGGTGGGAGGATGCGTCCTTTACAGGGATGATGGAACGGAAGTGAGCTCCTTGGAGCATAAACCAGCCATGCTCTGCTCCTGTGGGAGTGGCCTCTTAATTGGCGATTTACTGTTTGTTGAACAAGTTGGGCAGGGACTTGGCAAGAAAGCATGGTCTAGAGGAAGGAAGGGGGCTTTAAGGTCAGCTCCCAGCAAAAGTCAGGCCAGGGAAGCACGGGGAAGTAAATGAAGTTCTCTAAGATTAGGCCTGGGTTCTGCTGCAGCCAGGTCTGGGTTGGAAGGCCCAGAGCAAATGCATCTGGTGGCACAGGCTCTTTGTTCTCTGTAACGGAAGACGAAGGCCTGCCTGAGAGTGTGGGGAGTTTGCAGGGAGCGGGTGGAGGGATGGTGGTCGGTGGACAGCTCAAGCCTGAAGCCTGGACCAGGGTCTTTTCCCTAGGCCAGAAAAGCCAGGTGTGGAGGGCTAATGGTTTTCTCCCTGTAAAGAGTTCCCAGGTCTTCCTTCCAGGAAAAAGGCAGCTCAGTTCCCGCTTCCCTGCTCCAGCCAGCTTCCACGCCAGAGAGGACCAGAACTGCGGAAATTCCAGGTCCTCTGGTAATTAGGGCCGGCAGGAAGTGATCCGGGGAATTACCGGGGTTGGGTGCCCCATTGAAGGCCAGGGCTTTAGAAGGGCGGCTGGCTTGTAATCTCAATTTGAGATCGGTTGATT